GCAGCAGCTGGACAGGTGCCTCAGCCCCTGTGCTGGCGTCCCTCTCCGACCTTGGCCCCTCATACCCGGTGCAGGCTGGGGACTCACCTCCCATGTGCTCCTGGCAGACTCTAGCCCCAACAGGACCCACTCAACCCCCATAGCAGCATGCAGGGCTCTGAGACTCCCTCTCCAATGGCCCTAGCCACCCACCTGGTGACGGGAGCAGGGACAAGGCCCCAGGGACTCAGCCCCCCAGCACCCCCCCCACCCAGCCTTCCCTGCCCAGCACTGGAGGCCAGGCCAAATGCAGGGCTCAGGTGCCGTGCTCAGGGGGCTGCCATGGTGGGGATTCTGGGGGGCTGAGGGGTAGCTAGGTGGTAGCTGCCAGGACTCAGCAGGAAGTGAGGTCACCAACCGCCAAGGGCAGAGCGCGCCTTCTCTACATGCCCCTGGCCACAGCCACGGCCCAGCAGGGAAGGCACCAAGTCCCGGCTGCCAGGGGGATGGGGCTGTGGCCGGCACCCCCCTCCCCACACACGGGATCTCTGCCCAGAGTCTAGAGTCCTGGTGGCCCACCTCCAGTGGCCATGGAAACCACTTCCCCTTCTGCCTCGGCTGGGACCCTGAGGCTCCAGGGACAGCCCAGACTCAGAGCCCATGCGGCAGACCGTGTCCCTAGGAGCACCGTCCCCTGCTGGCCTGGGGGGTGTTACAGCGTCAGAGAGCACGGGTGGCCTGACAGTCCCAGGGTGGGGTGCTGGACCCTAATAGGCACAGAGCCCTGAGGCCTTGGCAGCCAGGTGGGGGCGTCCTCCTCCATAACCCCTGGTCCAGGGGCCCGGCTGCCCCGGGGGTCATGGCTCTTGAGTCCCAGAGCCCTTGAGGGGCCTGCAGCTGGGCCTGGGCTCACCCCCTGGGAGGGCCCCCCAAGTTTCTCTAGGCGCCATCCCCTCCAGGTCTGTACTCACAAGGACATTATCCACCTTTGACCCCAGAAATCCTTGAACTCATGCAAATTCTGGGGGATCCCTGGGGTGCCTAGGGAGTTGGTTCAGGCCAAGCCCCCTGCAGAGTGTAGGTGGGGAGTGCGCGGACAGCCTCCAGGGCCCAGGGCAGTGCGGTGGCGTTGCCAACATACGGATGGTGAGCTGGATGGACTGTCCCTCGCAGCTTCTGGACCTGTGGCCTGGCCCTTGGCATGGCCTGGGCTGCGTCTACCTGGGGGACCAGAGTGGGACCTCCTGCTGGCAGCTAGACACTCTGTCCCTGGACTCTGGGGACCCCAGCACAGACCTCCCCTCCCATCAGCTCCCATCCAAGGGCCCGGGTCCCCGTGCCACCTTGAGGGAGGTTGGGCACCTGTGAGGATTCATCCCCAGCCCTCACCTCACTCCAGCACAGGGGACAGCCTCTACCCCAGCTCGGGCAGGGGTGGAGACCGAGCACCCCCTGCTGGCCACACCTGCACTACGCTGTGCAGAGGCCTGGGGAAGACTCCCAGCAGGACCCCACAACTTCCCTGCCCTGGTTTGGGGTGTTGGGGTCTGCAGTGTGGCACAGCTAGGCTGAGAGGCTGTTCTGGGAGTGGTAGATGGGCGGGCCTTTGCACCTGCTGCAACTCTCGCCCCACCCCGCCTGCCCCGCCTCCCCTGGAGGCCACAAATGCCTCCTGCCCCTCCTAGGCCGGGGTGGGGCACTGGCAGGCAGCCTCCCTGCCCCACCAGGTGTGCACACAGAGTCCCCTGCTGAGCCAGGGCTGTAAGGGCCCCCCTTCCTCCACCCCACCCCCAGGGAGGCGCCTCTGGGTTCCTCCGGTAACCAGCTGAGGCGCAGCTGCCTCCCTCTACCTGCAGAGACACGAGCCAGCCTGGAGCTCCTGCCCGGTGCTGCCCTGGGTGGACAAGACGCAGGTGAGTACCTGGGTCACTGCTGAAGAGCTCTGCGGGCCAGGGTGGGGCTGAAGCCGGGCCCCTTCTGCTGGGCGTGCTCCCTGGCCCCTTGCCCGCTGCTCTGGGCTTCCTGGTCTCCCCTATCTGTAAGTTGGGCGTAAACAGGGGCTTCCCCGGGTCCCCAGGCAGGATTGGGAAGGGGCTACACTGGGCTCCAGGCCCCTGGCAGGGGGCACTCCTGGTCCTGAGGCTCCCGGAGAGGAAGGACCTCCTTGCGGCTAGTGACTGCGGGCCAAGCACCCAGCTGACCCACCGAGTGTGGCCTCGTCGCCGGGGTAACACAGCCGCAGACTGGGAGCCCTGGGCGTGGCTGCCATGGCCTGTGGATGCCCTGACTGCCTTGGAGCAGGAGATGGGCCTGGGCGTGGGGCACGCTGTGAGGTGGGGCCCCGCTGGCCCTGCTGTCCTTCTGGGTCACTGTGCAGGATGGGGGTCAGAGGGTGTGGCCTCATTTCCCAGCTGTCCCCTCCGAGGGAGAGCCATTTGTCACGTGACCCCCTCGGCCCGCTCCCCTTCCCACCCCTTTCCATCTGGCGTCCCAGTGGTGTCTTTAATGGCTTTCCCAGCCTCCCGCCCCGCACAGATGCCACTGTGATCACCTGGCCCGGGAGGCCCCTGGGCTGGGCTGTGACCATAGGCACCCAGACCAAGCCACATCTGAGAGTGCATGCTGTGTGTAGCTGTGACACGTAAGTGTGTGCTGTGACTGCATGTGAAAAGTGCTGTGTGTGCTGTGAGCGTGACACACAGGCGTTTGCTGTGACTGTGAGTGTGACACAGGCGTGTGCTGTGAGCGTGACACAGGCGTGTGCTGTGACTGTGACAACAGGCGTGTACTGTGAGCGTGACACAGGTGTGTGCTGTGACTGTGAGCGTGACACAGGCGTGTGCTGTGAGCGTGACACAGGCATGTGCTGTGAGCGTGACACAGGCATGTGCTGTGAGCATGACACAGGCATGTGCTGTGACTGTGAACGTGACACAGGCGTGTGCTGTGACTGTGAGCATGACACACAGGCGTGTGCTGTGACTGTGAGCATGACACAGGTGTGTGCTGTGACTGTGAACGTGACACAGGCGTGTGCTGTGAGCGTGACACAGGCGTGTGCTGTGAGTGTGACAACAGGCATGCTGTGGGCAGGACCTAGTGGGCTGGGCGCAGGCATGCGGTGGTGGAAGCCCAGGCTGACAGGCAGCGTGAGGTCCGGGGACACCCAGACCGCCCCTGCTCGCATGCCCTGCACCCTCAGCCTCACAGAACTGCCAAGCATGGGGCAGGGTGTCTTGCCCCCTCCAAGCAGGGGCCAGAGGAGGCTGCTCCAGCGACACTGCCTGGTGCCCGGGGTGGCGGGGAACGCCAGCCCCTCCCTGCCAAGAATCACAGCTCTGCAGGGGGCCTTTCCCAGCTCCAGGGTCAGGAATGCTGGTGGGCACTGCCAGGTGGGCTGCCCCTCAGACACAGTGGCACTGGGCCTGGGCAGGTGAACGCTGTCGGGCGCTGGGCTGTCCTTGGGTGCTCTCAGTGTGGGCCAGGAAGGGCTCCCCGGCCTGAGGGGTCCCAGGTTCCAGGTGGGAGTAGCTGAATGTAAAGGGGACATTGGGAACCATCCTCCCAGAGGCTGCGGGGCGGGCTGCGGGGCGGGCTGCGGGGCGGGCTCCCGGGCACCCAGGCCGAGCTGCCCTCGGGCTGTCCAGCTGTCGAGGACTGTCCCGTCGGCCATGGTGTCTGAGCAGTGTCCACTACAGAGGAGGCCCACCCTCCTGCAGCACCTTCCAGAAGGTCCCAGAGGCCCTGCCTCCACCCTGACGGTCCCCAGGACAGCTGCCGTGTGGTGAGGGGCAGGGACCGGACTCCACGCCCGCACACAAGGTGGCCCAGTGCAGACCCAAGGGTGGTCAGGGCTCCGACCGGGGCTAGGGTGGCTCCCGAGGGCTGGGGACTATGCGGTCGCTGCAGTGGCACTCCACATCGCAGAATGGCCCTGCTGCCCCTCTGGGCTCCTGGCTGCTCCACTATGGATACCAGAGGCTGTGGCCAGTGCTGACCAGGCGTCTGTGAGCTCTCCCGGGGATCCTTGGACCTCGCATGGGCTCGGGCAGCTGTCAGACACCATGACTTTGGGCAGACCCTCCTGAAGGGGGCCCTCACTTCCCCCCAAAGCCTAGATTCAGGAAGCTCACTGCCGCATGCCCTCCCTGGGCACCCGCAGGGCCCACGGCCGTGCCCAGCAGTGGATAGCACACAGCACTGCAGGGACCCAAGCCCGGGGCCTGAGTGTGTTCTCTGCAGCACCAGGCTGGGGTCAGCCGCCAACCATGCGCTCTGGGGTCTGGGGCGCCTGGCCCCAGCCTGTGCCAGAGCCCGCAGAGAGGGCCGGCCTGGGGAGCTGTGTCCCTGAGTGACATGGGGTTATTATGCTGTCATGGGATTCTCTCCGCCCACTGGGGGCAGTTCAGGGGCGCTGCCCGCCCAGGGCCCGCAGCCCATGGTGCTGGCTGGTGTCAATGACTGTCCTATGGGGCGCCCCCTCAGGCCGGGGTGCCAACCGGGCGGGGCCAGCGTGTCCTGAGCAGGGCTGGAAGACGCGCTATAGACCTGGGGGTGGCCATGTGAGCGATGGCCAGGTAGGGGCATGACCAGGGCCCGGTGCCTCAGCCCTGCAGCTGCACCAACCTCAGGGGTGGGCATGCTGCCCATCTGCCTGCAGAAAATGCCGCAGCCTTGCTCCGGCACTGCTCACGGCTGGTACCTCTTTCCCCGCGGGGCCCTGGGGCTGGCATCCACCTCCACAGCCAGGTAGCCTTGGGGACGCCTGGACAAGTGTGGGCATGGGGAGAGGGCAGTCCTGGGCACTAGTGGGGTGAGAATTTGCGCCCCACCCAGTGTCCTGAGCTGGGCACTAGGAGTCCCTGACTGGCTGCTTCCTCCCAAGGGAAGATGGACTGTGCCCACCCGTGACCGAGAACAACCTTGTGGTCCCGAGGAGGCCCAGGCCCTCCCAGCAGGTGGAGCCCCACCTGGCCTGGTCTGAGCACCTGGAGGGGAAGCCGGGCTGCCCAGGCAGCTTGGGTTGCAGCCTGCCCATGTGGGCCTCAGGAGCCGACGCCAGGGACGGGGACAGCTCCGTGTCATCCGGCCGTCTCTCGGGCTCCTCGGGGGGCCACGAGGCCTGCCCTCCTCCCTGTGGGACCTGGAAGGAGAGACCCCCACAGGTGCTGGGCCCACAGCGGCAGCCCAGGAGGAGCGACCCCCGGCTGGAGCAGCTGAGGGATCGGATCCGGGCACAGGCCCAGTGGCAGGGGAGTTGTGCCTCGCTGGGCACCTCGGCCCTGTCCAGCACCTCTGCGCAGGCCCTCCGCAGGAAGACCTGCAGGGTGGCCTGTGGCCTTCCGGCCCCCACACAGCCAGGTCAGTGGCGGCACGCATGGGAGGGTGGGTGGTAGGCGGAAGCAGAGGTGGTCTGGCTGGCACGGGCCCTGGGGCTTCCGGGACAGGGTACAGCAGAGAGCCCCGAGCTGGGAAGGTGATGGGACAGGTTGGCCCCTACTTTGCAGAGGCGTGGAGGGCAGACAGGCGGCTGCATGAGGTCTGTGGGTTCTCAGGGCACAGGAGGCTCATGGGTTCCCCTTACCCATGGGCAGACGGGGCCCCAGCTGGGAGGCAACCCAAGAACCCCTTGACATACTGCTTGGGGCCCCTTGGAGCAGGCTCGGGGCCTTGCTCCATCCTATCGCTGCCGTAGGCCGCAACGGGCAGAGCACGGCGGAGCACAGGACCCACGGCCCAGCCACCTTGGGCCGGGTGCGTGAGCTCTCCAGGGCCTCACAGCCCTCAGTGCCTTCAGGTGAGTGGCCTGCCACTGCCCGGCGCCCCTTGCAGGTGGATGCCGAGCGGCAGAGTGGGGGCCTGGGGTCCCACTTTGCCTGCCCAGGCCGGCCCCCACCTCACCCATCTGCCCCTGCCCCAGCATCGGATCCCAAGCTCTTTGGACCCATCTGACCCTAGCAGTGTGGTCAGCTATGTGCCCGGCTCGCTGGGGTCCTGGCCCCCAGGTCATAGTTGGTGGCACACAGCCCTGAGTGCACTGAGCTGGGCTGGGCGGAAGCCTGATGCCCAGCAGGTGCTCCTGGGGCAAGGATTTGTGCCCAATCCCCAGAGACCATCGCAGAATACACAGGCCAGCCACCTGCGTCCTGGGCTCCTGAGCTCGGCCACACATGGTGACGTCCAGGGCCAGGGGTCCCAGGGTCAGCAGGTGAGGTGGGCACCTGGGGACTGGCTTTGCCCCCCAGCGCGCCCCTCATTTCTCCCTACAGGTCCAAGGGAAAAATGCAAGCGTGCCCGGAGCTGCTCATGCAGGACTGACCCAGCTCCCAGGCTGCCTGCCCCTGGCAAGGCAGCTAAAGGCCGAGGTAAGGCGAGCTAGGCCCGGGCCCCAGACCCCCACCTCCCTGCCACCGCCCGCCCAGGCCTCTGTGCCCCGGCCCGCCCCGAGCCTCCACAGGCACGCGGCTCTGGTTTCTGGGCCACAGGCAGCTGCTAGGCCCCTCACAGACACAGCCCCCGCCCTTGACCTTGGGGAATGGCAGCCCCAAGACCAAGTGTGGTCAATTGACCCATCAGAGTCCCAGCCCCGGGGGAGCTGGTGACCCCCTTGCTGGGGTTCCTGGGCAGCAGGAACAGCGCCCACTGACGGCTGTGGGACATGAGTGGGCACTCGGGGGCTGTCAGCTGAGAGCTCCAACGGGCGCAGTGGGGAGGGGCTGGGTCCCCTCCAAGCCCTAGCCCAGGAGTGGCTTTCAGAACTTGTGGGTGCCCGCCAGCTGGGTGCAGATGCTGCAGGGCAGGGCACCGGTCCTCAGGGCCATGGGGCTTAGTGCAGAAGGCTCTTTAGCCCCAGTGCCCTAGGGGCCACATGTGGCTCCTGACCGGTCAGTGTGGTGGCCAGGTCGGTCCTAAGTCTGCTCTTGCCCTGCCAGTGCTCCTGGGCCAGCTGTGTGCTCTGTCCCGCCCAGCACCCCCGAACACCTGCCTCCGGAGACTGGCTGCCCTGCAATGCCCGCTTGGCCCAGCGCCCTCTGGCGAGGCGGGCAGTAGAAAACCCAGGTGGTTGTGGCCGGCAGGTGGCGTTATCACCCCCAGCTTTGGGGTCTGTTCTGTTTTTTTGGCCAGTTTGAAAAATGACCTGCCTTGTGCCAGATCCGGGGTCAGAGGGCGTGCCGCCGGGCCCATCCATCATGGGGCCACCATGTCGCCCCACTGGGGGTGACCATTCATTTCTGTCCGGGATGCGGCCACAGCTGAGCTAAGCAGAGATGAGTGGGTTCAGAGGTCAGAACCGCTGGACCTGGGAATTGGATAGACTTGGAATTTGCTGTAGTTAACAAAAAATTAAATCACCATAGTGGTGAAATCTGCATGCATGGGGGCCGGGGTGAGAGCGGACATCCATGTTCAGTCGCAGCTGATGTCACCTCACTTTGCATTTCTTGTGGAGGAGGTCGGCCCCCAGCTGCTGACAGGCCGCTTGGGGACTTGGTCCATTTCCACAGATTAAAAGTCCCCTCGGAAAAAAATTAATCACCATTAAGCAGCTCTATGGGAGGCAGAGTGGGTCCCACAAGACCCGGTCATCGGCAGGGGCTTGGGGGCTGTGGAGCAGCTGCGGGGCCAGGCTAGAAGGAGAAGCCAACGGACCCCTTGCCAGCCCCCCAGGCCTCTCCCAGTGCCAACCGTGGGTGCTGCCCTGAGCCCACAGACTCTGGACCCTATTCTGAGCCAAATGGCTCGTGAGCGTTGTGGGAGCGTGAGTGTGTCAGTGTGTGGGAGAGTGAGTGTGTCAGTGTGTGGGAGTGGGAGTGTGTCAGTGTGTGGGAGCGTGAGTGTGTCAGTGTGTGGGAGAGTGAGTGTGTCAGTGTGTGGGAGAGTGAGTGTGTCAGTGTGTGGGAGTGGGAGTGTGTCAGTGTGTGGGAGCGTGAGTGTGTCAGTGTGTGTGGGAGAGTGAGTGTGTCAGTGTGTGTGGGAGCGTGAGTGTGTCAGTGTGTGGGAGAGTGAGTGTGTCAGTGTGTGGGAGCGTGAGTGTGTCAGTGTGTGGGAGCGTGAGTGTGTGTGTGTGTGGGAGCGTGAGTGTGTCAGTGTGTGGGAGCGTGAGTGTGTCAGTGTGTGGGAGAGTGAGTGTGTCAGTGTGTGTGGGAGAGTGAGTGTGTCAGTGTGTGTGGGAGCGTGAGTGTGTCAGTGTGTGGGAGCGTGAGTGTGTCAGTGTGTGGGAGAGTGAGTGTGTCAGTGTGTGGGAGCGTGAGTGTGTCAGTGTGTGGGAGCGTGAGTGTGTGTGTGTGTGGGAGAGTGAGTGTGTCAGTGTGTGGGAGCGTGAGTGTGTCAGTGTGTGGGAGCGTGAGTGTGTCAGTGTGTGGGAGAGTGAGTGTGTCAGTGTGTGGGAGCGTGAGTGTGTCAGTGTGTGGGAGCGTGAGTGTGTGTGTGTGTGGGAGAGTGAGTGTGTCAGTGTGTGGGAGCGTGAGTGTGTCAGTGTGTGGGAGCGTGAGTGTGTCAGTGTGTGGGAGAGTGAGTGTGTCAGTGTGTGGGAGAGTGAGTGTGTCAGTGTGTGGGAGCGTGAGTGTGTCAGTGTGTGTGGGAGCGTGAGTGTGTCAGTGTGTGGGAGCGTGAGTGTGTGGGATAATTAGTTGTATGGGAGTATGAGCGTGTGAATGGGTGTCAGGCTGTGTGTGCTGGCTGTGTGTGTGGGCTGTGTGTGTGGGCTGTGTGTGCGCCCCGTGCCCCGGGGAGGGTGTTGGGGTGTGGCCTGTGTGTGCAGGCTGTGTGTGCTGGCTGTGTGTGCTGGCTGTGTGTGCGCCCCGTGCCCCGGGGGGGTGTTGGGGCGTGGCCTGTGTGTGCAGGCTGTGTGCTGGCTGTGTGTGCAGGCTGTGTGTGCTGGCTGTGTGTGTGGGGTGTGTGTGTGGGCTGTGTGTGTGGGGTGTGTGTGGGCTGTGTGTGCGCCCCGTTCCCCGGGGAGGGTGTTGGGGTGCGGCTGTGTGTGCACCTGTTCGCTCTCTCAGACCCCGAGGCAGTGGGTGTGTATGCCTGGAGAAGAGGACAAGCCGCTGCCCGGTCGCTGCTGGGACCCCCTCCCAGGAGGCTGCAGAGTAAGACACCCAGGAGGGACCAGGAGGGGCCCTGGAGCTGCCACCCTGCTGTGGCACCCGTGGGTGGGCATGGCCCGGGCGGCAGTGATACTGTGTTAGACCCCCTCCAAGCCATCAGCCAAGGGGCCCCAGGGAGGAGGCAGTTTTTTGGAAATCATTCATTCACGTGGTTTGGAAAAGTGACACGGATAGTTTTAGGAGGAGGGGGAGAGATTGCATTTGTTGGTCCACTCCCCAAATGGCTGCAATGGCCAGGGCTGGGCTGGACAAATCCGAGGGCCACGAGCTCCGTCCAGGTCTCCCTCGTGGGCGCAGGAGCCCAAGCACCTGGGCCGCACTCATGCTTTCCCAGGAGCAGTCGAGACTCCAACTGGTGCCCACATGGGATGTTGGCCAGGCATGCAGTGGCTTAGTCTACTGTGCCACAGCCCTAGCATAGCCAGGAAAGGGCCTCTGCCCCCAGGAATGTCCCCAGCCAGCACACAGCCAGCTGCTCCGTGCCACTCCCTTCTGGGGCTGCAGCACCCCCTGCGTGCCTATCTCTGCAGAGGACAGTAAGAAGGCCACCACTGCAAGCTCCTCCAGCACCCGGGTGCCCCGTGCCGTCCCTGCCCACAGCCACCGGCAGGTGTCTGAGCCGGCGCCTAGCCAGGTGTCCTGCGACCAGCCCACCATGATCCACACGGCCATGGAGACCCTGCAAGACCTCCGGCAGCAGATCCAGGCTGGGCTGGACCTGGCCAGGGGGCCCCGCGAGGGACAGAAGCCGAAGACCAAGCTGAAGCCTGAGGCATCCGCCGGGATGAGGCCTCAGGGCCCAGGCAGCACCCCAGCAGCACAGGACGCTGCCCGCAAGTGTCCCTGGGCCCCACTGGAGCGACGCCACTCCTCCCCTGGCTGTGCTGGGGGCATCCACTGCCGACTGCCCTGCAGCCCGTCAGCCACGTGGCAGTCCAGGCTGAGCCGGGAGCCGCCCAGGAGCCCCTCCTTCCAGCGGCCGTGGAGCACCTGCCTGCCGCAGGCCAGGGCGGCCAGTGAGGCCTGGGGGACGCCGTGGAGCCCCCCGGAGAGGCCACGCGCAGCCCCCCTGCGGCCTTGGAGCAGCTCGTCCGTGCTCAGGGCTGGCACCACCTGCAAGGACAGAAGCACTGGGCGCCCGCCCTCAGGAGCCAAGCAGGCCTGGCCAGGGCCCACGAGGGCCGTCCCCGCTCCCAGCGCCAGGCCCGCAGCACCCTGTCCCCGGCTCCAGGAGCCGCTGGGCCGGCTGCACAGCTCCGAGTCCCTGCGTGACATCATACGGCAACGAGCGCTGCAGGCGAAGGCCTCGGCCGCCCGGGCCCTGGAGCTGCGCAGCCAGCGGCTGCAGGAGGTGTACCGCCAGCAGGAGGAGGCCGTGCTGGGCAAGGCCATCCCCTTGGTCTCCCAGACCACTCCCGGCATTGTCACCTTCGTTCCCAGCACCGCACAGAGCGGGGTATGTGCTGGGCTGCCCCCCAGGAAGCGGGCAAGTGCTTATCCGTGGTGTTGCTCCTGAGGGAGACCCGCAGGGACAGGGAGGGCCAGGCGCAGGGGGCCTGCAGGGGCAGGGCTTCCGGTCACCCCCTCCCTGTCCTTGAGGGACGGGCTATGGGAGCGGCTCTGACTATATGCCGTTCTGCATTAGGGTGTGGACGCCCCTGAGAGCCTGGGGTCCCCAGTGCAGGAGTGGAGTAAGGTGACATCTGGCGTGGTACGGGGTGACCAGGAGGCCCCGGGCAGGTGGGTACCTTGTTTGAGGGGAGCTGCACTTCTGGGTGGGGGTGGGGGAGGGGAGGGGACGAGCGCTGCCCCTATGCCCCTGTGGTGGTGACTGTCCCATCAGACGTGAGCTGCCTCTGGCGCACAGGTCAGAATTGCTCAGGGTGACCCCACTGTGTCCCAGGGTCGCCTGTTCCAAACGCTTTCCCTCCCCAAAGACACCCCCAGGCCCTGCCCAGGCTGCCTGACCCCCCTGCCCACGCTGTCACATGTGCCCTTCTGCACACTGCCGCGGAGGGAAATGGGGTTCAAGACCCCGATAGAGCTCACAGTCTTGTTCTCTATCGAATGCAGTGTCCTCAAGGCACCCATCAGGGCAGGCGGGCGGGGCGTCCCATCAGGGCAGGCGAGCGGGGCGGGGTGTCCCTATCAGGGCAGGCGAGCGGGCGGGGTGTCCCCATCAGGGCAGGCGAGCGGGGCGTCCCCATCAGGGCAGGCGGGCGGGGCGTCCCTGATCAGGGCAGGCAGGTGAGCGGGCGGGGTGTCCCGGTCAGGGAAGGCGTGCGGGCAGGGCGTCCCTCCAAGGGCAGTTGTGTGGGGCTGTCCCTCATGACCAAGTTGTGCCTGCACCTGTTCTAAGGCCTGTCCTTGTTTGCTGTGGACAGCCCTGCACGTCCAGGCCCTAATCCCTGGAGGCACATCCCCACCCCCACATTCCGATGCTGAAACCCCAGGCGTGGCTCTGGAGACGCTTGCTATCCAGCCATCCGCATGACAAAACAGGTCCGACTCGGGGTGCTGTGCGCCCCCAGCTCGACACCTGTGCTCGCCTGTCAAAACAGGACGAGCCTCCCGCCTCTGTCTCCGCAGCTTCTGCCTGTGTTTGAACAGACCCTGGGGTCGCACTGAGGCCTTGCAGCCGGGGCGCCTGCGGGACGCGGCACCTCTCCTTCACTCAGCCTCACTGGGCGCCCTGAGGCTCCAGGACCTGCCCCGCGGGCTGTGCGTGTACCTGGACCCGCAGGAGGCCGAGCGCCTGGGCACGGCCAGCCCACGGCACTGGACCCACAAGCTGGAGCGGCTGCGTGCGCTCGAGACCATGGCGGACGTGTTGAGGCAGCGTGTGGACATCCTGAGCACGAAGCTGCACCACCTTGAGGCGCCGCCCTGGGACCTGCCGCCCTCGGGCCCCGAGCCTGCGCCCGCCGCTACTGCCGGCCCCGGAGCCATCGCGTCCAATGGCGGCCGAGGGGTGGACGTGCAGGCCGGGCCCTTCCCGGATGCAGAGATGCTGCTCTGGAACCCCTGCTGGGAGCCATGTAGCCTGAGCCCCGGATCCCCCTTCGAGAGCAGGTCCCCAGGTAGGGCAGGGGCCGGGCAGCCACAGCACCCCGCTTCCTGTCTGTCCCTTCAAAAGCCAGAGGTAAAGAAGCTAGGGCAGGCAAGGCCTGGGCACCCGGGGTCAGCCTGGTGGGGCCCCTTTGCCGTACCTCTGGTCCCCTGCTCCCCACCTCACCCCTTCTCCCTGCTGCCCACTCCCGGTGTGTGCACTGAAGCCAGCACGGTCCCCGCAGGCGTGGACGGGAGGCCCTGGGAGCTGCAGAGGCGGCTGCAGCGGCATGCAGCATCCTTCCAGGCCCTCCGCACCTTGGTAGGCAGGTGAGCCGGGCTGCCCCCTAGTCTGGTCCACCCAAGGCCAAGGGGGGTGGTGCTGCCCCCGCGGAACCAAGGGCAGGTGGAGGCTGCTCCAGCCCGGGGAAGTCGCTCTGCTGCCCGCATGCTGCCCTGTCCCAGGCCCTCCTCTGTGTCTCTCCAATCGGCTTGACCCTTTGGCCTGGGGCTTCCAGTGCCCAGGAGCTGCTCCCTTCCACTTGATCTGTCCACTTGATGATGCGCCTCCCGGAGTGGTGCTGCTGATGGCTGTGGCCAGTAGGGGGCAGCATGGCCAGCGGGCAGAGGGTGAGAACCTGGCAGGAGGTTGGCCCTAGCCCAAGGCCCCTGTGCTGGATTCCTGCCCCACAGCCACAGGAGGGCCCAGCCCACGGCCAGCACTGTGTACCTCAGGGCTGTCCACCCACGGTTGTCCATCTTGGCCCCAGGGCTGCCCGTTTCCTGGAACATTCTCCCAGGCTCCCCACATCTTGCTGCCCCTCGTGGTCTCAGCACTCGCCCCAGCCACTGTGAGGCCAAGGGCAGGAGTGCTGTAGTGGACACAGGGGCAGGGGGTATGCTTAGTCTTCCAAGGGGACCCTGGGCTGCTGCGCCCCAGGAAGGACAGCCGGCCCCGAGGGCAATGTGAGGCAGACATAGCTCAGCTCCCCCCTCACTTCCTGCACGCCTGGAGCCCCAGGGCCAGCAGCTCCCAGTGGTCCAGTCCTGCTGGCCGGCAGGTGCCCTGCATGGCTGAGGACCCTGGATTTGCTAGGAAGATGGGCAGAGTGGCAGGAACTCAGCTATGCCCTGAGCTGGGGCAAGCAGGCAGTGAGAGGAATGGGCTCTGGCAGTCTGCAAGTGCCTGGCTGGGGGGCCAAGGGGTGTGGTGCAGGGGGCAGCGGGCAGCTGGGGCACCAAGGGTGTGGTGCAGGGGGCAGCGGGCAGCTGGGGGGCCAAGGGGTGTGGTGCAGGGGGCAGCTGGGGGGCCAAGGGGTGTGATACAGGGGGCAGGGGGCAGCGGGCAGCTGGGGTGTGGGTGCTCAGAGCTGGACTGCCTGCACTTACACTGGGGGCCTGCAAAAGCACTCTTCTGTTCTTCCCCTTGGGGGACGAGTTCTGTGGGTGAGACACATTCACCAGCCCTCACGGCTTAGTGCCCAGCTGGCCCCACCTGGTGCTGGGGGTCAGTGGACAGGTGCTGTTGGGTGCCGGGCAGTGAGGACCCTTCCCCCCGGGAGTCGTCCCTGGGCAGGGGCTGGGACTAACTGACGGCTCCCTGGTATGGGTGGCTTCCCAGGGCTATCCTGCCCAACTGTTCCCCACGGGGCTTGGCAAGCGGTCCCCCAACAGCCTGCGGGTGCCCAGGGTGACCACGCTGGCCATGGGGACGTGGCTCGCAGCCCGAAGCCCAGTGCAGGCCCTGCAAGCTTATTGCCCACACTCCTCCTGCTGGGCTGCTGCAGGTCCTGGGTCCGAGTGGGGGTGTGGGGGGAGGCACAGCAGGCCACCCCCACCCTGGGGGCAGCACCGGGTACCAGCTTGGCCGTTGGCCCCGGGTGCCGGAGCACCGCCGCCTACCCTGCCTTTCTGTCTCCCAGCTCTCTGCCAGCTGCCCTGGACCGCACCTGCGAGCCGCTGTGGCTGGAGGAGCCGCCAGCAGCCACCACAGTAGCGGGCTTGGGAGCACCCTGGAGCAGCTGGAGCTGTGGTAAGGGCAAACCCGCAGCCAGGCCCTGGGCTGGCTGGTCAGGCGGCCAGGGGCACCCGCCGGGGACCCTCTCCACTGCCTAGTGCTCGGTGCAGCCCGCCAGGAAGAGCAACCGCACGCTTCTGTATTAAAGTGTTTTAGGCTTCTGGGGGCCTGCTGCCTGCTCTGTGCTGCCCTCGGTGACCTGACGGGCTGGATCAGGGTGGTGTCTGGGGGCTGCCCTGTGGGACCCCATGCAGTGGCCCAGGACGCTGCCCTGCGGCAGCCACCTGAGACATCCTTGTGCCCCCGGACCAAGAGCCAGTGCCTGGAAGAGTCTGGAGGGCCCTCTGCTGGTCACCCCCAAGCACGCCAGAAGCACTGGGGGTCCCGCCAAGGACACCACAGGTTCTGGGCTGCCTCCTGGCAGTGGGCTAGGGCTGTGCTGTGTGCATGTGCAGGCCCCAGGGCAAGGGGGTGCTGGAGAAGGGGGTAACCAAACCCCTGCCCCTCTAGGACAAACCCACAGCACTCGCTGCAGGGTGAGGGTGGAGGCGGTTGCTTGCTGCCCCCGGAAGGTCGGTCTGCCTACGCCCATGTCAGTGCAGGGACTGTCAGCCCCGGGCGGGGTGCCTGTCTACAGCCCAGGCCTCCTCCCTGGCAAGCGTGCCCGGGCCAAGGGTCAGCCCCGGACGAGGCCACGTCCTCCTCCCTCAGTGCTTCCAAGGCTCTGGAAGCCCCACCCTGGGGACAGCCTTACCAGTGCAGGCAGTGCTGCCTGTGGAACCTTCCAGACTCCAGCAGCACTGCTCCCGAGGGGTCCCTGTGAGCCCTGTGTGATGATGGAAGGTTCTGTGCTCTGGCCCCTGCCGTGCAGAGCCCTGACACACTGTCCAAGTGTGATGCGGAGGTGTGGTGCACCCAGCTCAGGCATGGACAGCAGGTGCGGGCAGTGAAGGCCCAGCATGGGCGTGGCGGCAGGTGTCCGGTGGTGTCTCCTGTGGGAGGCCCAGGGCAGGGAGCATGCGTGCTGTCCATCACTCAGGGTCGTCTCCATGCGCTGCACTGCACGAGGCCGGATCCTGGCCTCCTTGGTGGCTGTTTGCCCAGGTGCCCTCCACCCGCTGGCTGGTCCCTCTGCCCGCTGGCTGGTCCTGCCAGCCACTGGGTCTGGGTTCACATCTCATGAGACATGCCAGGGCTGCCACGCCTGCAGGAGCTGGGGCTCAGGGTGCAGCTCTTCTGATGGAGCCCCCCGCAAGGGCTGCAGGGAGAACCCAGTGAGAATTCCTCCGGCTTTGACGCACGCCTGCTGGTATCCGCCCTTCCGAGATGGCCACTCCGAGGCCAGGGGCTCCTCGAGGGCCCGGGGCGTCCTTGGAAAGGCTTTGCTCTTGCTTTGTGAGAGTTTGGCTCTTGGCCGTGCCTCTGTTCCACCATGGGTAGCCGAGCACTGTGCCCAGGAGGGCAGGTACCCGCAGGGTCAGAGCAGGGTTCTGGCCAGGGCCCCTGCGCGCCCGAAGCAGCGATGACCAAAGGGGCCAGCCGCAAGTCACATAAGGGAGAGAGGGAGGGGGCCTCCTGCCTCCGAGGGTCGCCTCTGCTGGCTGTGGGGCCAGCCCCTGCCCTGGGGGCCTCTACAGAGCAGCCTCCTTGTTGGCGGGGGGCCCCCATGCCATTGGGGGCTTCATATTCTGGGGGGACAGTGCTCTGACTGACTGCACTGGGCCATGCCAGGACTTCCGGGAGAGCCTGGGCCCCAGGCCCATGGAATGTCCGCCTGCTCAGCTATAGCACCTGCAGTGGTCTTGGGGAGCAGGGTCTCCTGCCCCTAAGGGACTCTGCCTGGAAGGCAAAGCAGGTCTCCATTGGGGCTGGGGACGAGCCCAGCTGCTGCTGTGATCCCAAGGGGCTGGGGACAAGCCTGGGTGACCCCAAGGGGCTGGGGACAAGCCTGGGTGATCCCAAGGGGCTGGGGACAAGCCTGGGTGACCCCAAGGGGCTGGGGACAAGCCTGGGTGATCCCAAGGGGCTGGGGACAAGCCCGGGTGACCCCATGGGGCTGGGGATGAGCCCGGCTGCTGCCGTGACCCCAAGGGGCTGCAGTGGCTACCGGCTCTGCCTGCCATGGTCAGCCAGTGCAGCTCTGGCCCGTGTCGGGCCGCCAGGCCGCCCTGTGCCTCAGTTCCCTTCCAGGCCCTCAGCTGCCCTCAGCTGCCCCTCTCCGTGGCCCGCAGGTGACCCGGAGCCCTCAGGGTTGCATCTCCAGGACCTGCAGGGCGGGCACCTGGTCAACATGCAGCTCAAGTCAGCCTGCTTCCTCGAGTCCCTGAAGGTGAACCACCCCGCCCCCGCCCTGCCCTGGCACCTGCAGCCCCCCAGGGGTGAGCGAGGTGCAGTTTGGGGCCCCCCATGCTGACGGGAAGAGCGACCACATTGTGCGTTAACAATCAGGGTGGCCCTGGCGAGAGGAGGGAGGAGTGGGTGCCTGGCACTTAGGGGACTCCCTGCCCTCCGGCTGAGGCACTCCCTTCCCTAGGTGAAGCAGCAGCAGAAGGCAGAGGCGCTGGCCCTTCTGCAGCAGCGGGCGGAGCAGGAGCTGTGGGCCACAGAGGCCGCGCTGGACACGCTGCGCTTCAAACGCCAGCTGCAGGTCAGTGGCCACCCTGGGCGCCTGGCTCCCGGCCCGCCCACAGCTCATCCACAGCCCGTGGCTGGGACCCTGCCGCCCGCCCACAGCCCACTCACAGCCCGTGGCCTGGTCCACAGTCCACCCATTGTCCCACACCTCTCCCTGCCCCTTGCAGTCCCCCTCCTCATGGCCTGTGCCCCAATCCAGCCTGTCCCCTCCGGTCACCCCGTTTCCCTGGAGCCCAGGACTCCAGCGCAGCAGGGACAGGCTCTCCCTCCTGCCTCTGCTCCCACTCCTGGGGCGCCCAGGCCTCTCTGGGAAGCAGGGAACGGGCTGCTGCCCGCCCCCACGCGTGGACCGTGAGGTCTGGCCTCTGCAGCACGCCGCCTCTCTGCTCACAGCTGGCGGTGGACAGACGGGCTGGGCCAGAGGTGCCTGGGCAGCCGGAGCAGCCGCACACCTGCGGGGACCCAGCAGGGCTGCCGAGATCTCGACCCCAGTGAGGCCCAGTGGGGGTCTGGGGCAGGAGGGGTGCCGGGAGGTGCCATGGAGCTGAGTGTCAGTCCTTCCCCCCCAGGTCATGCCCACTCCCAGCGAGGAGCGAAGTCGAGCCGGCCCTGGGCACTGCGTCTCCAGCAGGTGAGAGCCGACACGAGCCCCTACTGCTGGGGGAAGCAGTGTTGGGCTGCAGCCCCTCTGCCTGCGTGGGAGCTCTCGGGGACGCTGGGCTGTGCCCTGGTTGTGGCCTGCACATGCGTGACCACGGTGGTGCTGGGACCCGGAGCTGCAGCCCCCACCAGTGCAGCCGACACGGCTGACCTGCCACTCGGATCTCCCAGACCCCCTTGTCTTGTGTCCTGGGTACACTCAGTAACCAACATGAACTACAGCGCTCTCCTGGCAGCTGGGCCAGGGTGGTGCCAGCAGTCCCAGCTCCCCGACCACCCCCACCATGCACCGCGGTAGGGGTCAGCTCCCAGCCCCCTCGCGCCCCAGCTCACCCGTCTCTGTATTCCAGGGGTTTCTCGTGGGTGGGATCCCGCCTCAAGCTGCCTTTTTTCCCTCAAAGTCCCACTGACCACCGTGGCACTGTGCCCCCTTCCCCTGGGCTCTGCGTTGGCTCGTCCTGGCTCTCCTGGCTTTTTCCTTCTGTTTTTTTCTACCTCTCAATTTTTGAAAAGTTCTCAATTTATATATACCAGTTTATTTGAAAGGAAGGGATAGTTACAGAGAAATGAAAGACGGAGACCTTCCAACCACTGGTTCATGGCCCAGATGGGCACGCTGGCCAGGGCTGGGCCAGGCTGAAGCCGGGAGCCTGGAATGATGGCCAAGGCTGGGCCAGGCTGAAGCCAGGAGCCTGGCATGATGGCCAGGGCTGGGCCAGGCTGAAGCCAGGAGCCTGGCATGATGGCCAAGGCTGGGCCAGGCTGAAGCCGGGAGCCTGGCATGATGGCCAGGGCTGGGCCAGGCTGAAGCGGGTCACCCACGCGGGTGCAGGGGCCCAGGCACTCGGCCCTCCTCTGCTGCCTTTCCAGGCCATGAGCAGGCAGGCTGATGGGAAGTGGAGCAGCCAGGAGGGGAACCTGTGCCCACACAGGTCCTGAAGGTGAAGGAGCAGCCTTCCTTCCTTGGGCTCTGTGGAGCCTGCAGTGTCGGCTGGCGGGGGGGTCTGGTTTCTAGCGTGTGTTGGGACCTGCCGTGGCAGCTGGGCAGTGTACCAGGCTCTGCGCCCTCCACGTCCCTCCCGGGGCGCCCGCAGTCCCTTGGGACCCCTGCACGCCCCGACCCTGGGCCACGGCGGGGCTGGGTCTGCAGCCTGCTTCTTCCTGGTCTCCAGGGCATGGCTGCAGTGCAGCCCCCACTGGCATCTCCTCACACACAGCTGGCTGGGCAGGGTCCCCGCGATACCCGCCCGCGTCCTTCAGGGCGGGCCTCTTGTGTCCCCGTGTCCCGGATCGAGGCCCCCAGGACGCGTCTCACTCCGGTGCCACCTCCCACCTCCCACCCAGTCCTCAGGATCCTCGGGCTCCCCCGACCCGCGCCCGGGTCCCCACGGCCTGTGACAACTCGGGCTGGCTGGGCACCCTCCCCGACCCACCCCTGCTCTGTCCCCAGGCGCCCGGAGGCCGGCCGCGGCCCCCTGCCAGCCGTCTCCTCTGGACGACCCCGGCCCCCAGGTACGCGGGCCGGGCTCCGGCAGCGGGGGTCTCGGGGGTCGCGGGGGTCAGCCAGGCCGGGGCGACTCCGGAGGACCCGGGTGGACACTGGTGGCCTCCTTCCCCGGGCCGGGGGCCGGGAGCCAGCCGCCGCCCTCGGGCGAGGCTGTGCTCGCGGTGACGCGGCCGTCGGCTCGCTCCTCTCCAGCGCAGGCTGACGGGGCCCGGCGGAGCCGAGCCCAGAGCTTCCAGAACCTTCGGCCGCTTCACCTTCCAGATGTTAGAACAGAGCCTGCGTGAGGAGAAGCTGCGCGCGCAGCACCAGGCCGCCCTGCTGCGCCTGCGCGAGATGGCGCTGGAGGAGAGAACGCGCGCCGAGCTGGCGTGGCTGCAACACCAGCGGGGGTGAGCGCATGCGCACGGCGGCTCGAGCCCGCCCCGCCTGATGGCCACGCCCCCGCCCCGCCGCGGCGGCCACGCCCCCGCCGGACGGCCACGCCCCTGCCCAGCCCAGGCTGATGCAACCAGCAGTGACAGGTGTCGCGCCCTGTAGACAAGCCTGCCAGGTGGCCCAGGAAGCGTTGATTGCCATGACAAGCCGCCCTGCCACCGCCTTTGTTTAGCTGCTAGTTGCTGGGGTCCGCTGGGCAATGGAGCCCCCTACGAGCCCCCTGCACAGGCTGCTTCCTTCTCCCCGGGGCGGCCCTGAGGGAGGGTGTGGCAGGTGGACCAGAGCCGGCCTCCTCCTCACCTTCCTCCCTGGCCCCTGCCAGGTACTTGGGGTGCGAAGGAGACAAGGCCGCGTGGGCCGCCCTGGCCGAGAGGCAGCAACAAGCCCTCAGCAACCTGGAGAAGGGGAAGGTATAGGCCAGCAGGAATGGGGCGCCGCTAGCTGCCCCAGGCATGGGCACAGGCCCTGGCCCTACAGCCCTCGTGCCCCGCCTCCCCAACCCCAGGGCCACCGTGGACACCCCCAGCTCTAGGCCAGGCTCTGTGCCTCCATTTGCCAAGCAGGAGACTGCCCGGGGAGGGTGGTCGGCAGGGTGTGGGTGGGTTGGCCCTGTCCTGAGTGAGGACACGTACGTGCACACATGGGGCTCCAGTGGGCCCAGCGAGGCGGCCCCGTGGGTGCCAACTGTGGCCCTCACACCGCATGGCTCCCCAGGGATGTGGGTGCTGGGTGTGCCTTGGGCGTCGCAGGGACCGGGGGAGGCTGAGTCGGGGCGAGGGCAGAGGCCCCGCACGCCCGATGGGTCCGGTTCCCTGTGCAGAAGGAGATCCGTCAGCTGCGAGACATCCATTTGTCCATGCACCGCGACCGGACGCTGCTGCTGCGGCACCAGAAGGACATCCTGGCCGTGCAGCGGTCCACGGCCTGCCTGTGGCGGGAGCTGCACAGCCAGGGCGCTGGACCCCGCCCCTGGAGGAGTCCCGACAGCGCCCATGTGCCTGCGTGAGTCGTCCTCGGCTGCCCAGGCCTGCCATGGAGGGTGCTGGGGGCACCTGCTCCTGAGGCCAGCTCTGCAGTGTGAGGGGACACTGGGACGCCTCCCTGACTCTGGTAGCTGCTGTGGCCTCTGGCACCCTGGCCACGTGGTCACTTGACCCTGTGGTTTACAGCAAAAGGGGCTGAGGAGCCCTGTGCAGCGTGAGTCATGGATGAGCGAGGGGCAGAGCCATACCATGCCAGTGCTGGCCTGGTAGGAGTCTGATGGGCTCTGTGCCCCTGGGCCAGCAGCCCTGTACCTCCCAATGCCGGGCAGGACCCCAGCAGCAGGAAAGGGCCCCCAATATCAGTCTATCCCTCAGGGCTCTTGGCCAAATTGGGGGTCCTGGCTGTGGCCAGCCCCTGGGCAGTTTGCCCACAGCAGTGACCTGGGCTGCCATCCTCCTGCAAGGGGGGGGTCACTCCCACAGTGGCAGGTCAGGACCCCCCAGGCCAGGCGGTGTGGCGGCTATCCTGAAGGCCACCACCCCAGCCATGGCCCCAGTGTGGGTCTCCTCCAGCCCTGTCTCGGGCCAGCTCTGGGGGCAGCTCTGACAGATGGGGGACAAGGGCACTGTGGTGTGGGCTGGCTGCTTGTACCACGCGGCTGCAGCTTTCCCAGGGATGGGCTGGCACCCTAGGCAGGCGTGACGGGTGGGCGCCCCCTCACTCTGCCCTTCTTCACAGCCCCACAGCAGAGCAGACCCTGACAACCCCCACAATGGCTTCCGATGCCGTCAGCCCCCTGCAGCCCCCAGGGCCAGAGTGGGGAGAGGATGGGGCTGAGGGCAGCGGGCTGCCAGCCGAGAGTGACTGCCATGTTGACCAAGGTACGGTATGGGACAGCCACCTTGGCCAGGCTGGGTGGGATGGGCACGCCCTTGGTGGACACTGAGAAACTAGGTGGGGGCCAGACAGATCTGTGCGTTGTTCTGCCAGCCGGGGCTGGGGAGGCGCCCTGGACCTTTCCGGCCCCGTGTGTGAGTCCACGCGGGTCTGCCCAGCAGGGCCCCCAGGTGTAGGCCTTGACCCAGGGCCAGGCCCGTCCAGCTGGAGTGCTGAGAGGCCATCTCACCTGGCAGAGGAATGGGGCATGGGAGCCTGTAGTGCCCAGGCTCCGGGCTGGCTGGACTCTGGAGGCCAGGAGCCTCTGGGCAGGGGACGGGTTGGGAGAGCGCTTCCTGGAGGCCTGGTGCTGTCACCCTGAGCTGGGCTTGTCACCTAGGGCGTCCCTCAGGGTTTCCAGGACAACAGCACCTACGGTGGGACGTGCAGGTGGGCCCATTGGGGCTCCAGAGAGCGGGGTCTGGGTGCAGGAGGATGGGCAGCTGCCTAGAAGCTTCTCAGAGTCCCACCTCTGCTTGCCCTGCAGGTCTGGGGGCTCCCCATGGCCTGCTAGAGGCCAGTGACCCTAGGGCTCTGCCTGCTACTCTCCACCTGAGCCTTCTGGGCCTCCAGCAGCACCAGCCACTGGGCCTGGTCTTCGCTGTACGCACCCTCCCCCAGAGGCCCAGCCCCTTTCCCTGCCTGCCTTACGGTGCTTGGAAAGCAGCAGCTGTGCCCGGGGCGTCCGTCCCCGGCCCTGGCAGCACCTGCTGACTCTGTTGCCTTTTCACACAGGCCCCACTGGGGAGCCCCTGCCCGGCTCAGCCCCCAGGTAGGTCCCTGGGGGACCACCGGTGGCCGCCTGCCCTGTCCTGGGACCCCTTCCTGCGGGCCAGCTCGCTTTCCCAGGGGTGTGGTGGGCAAATTAAATATCCTCGCTGCTTTGATTTTAGCCCGGTTTTGCATCTCAGATTTTAAGGTCTTGGCAGTCAGTGTTGAATAACGTTGCTACATGTGTTCTTTCCTTTCTGGAATCTTCCATGTGGCCTGGGAGCCTTGCTCAGGGCCAGTCCCTGGTTGGCAGGTGGGTGGGTGAGGCACCTCCCACCTCCAGCTGCAGGCGCCCCCGGGCGTCAGCCAGCCGCTGAGCCGAGCCAGGGTGCCCGCACAGAGCTCGCCCCAGCCCCGGGTGCTGAGCTCAGGAGCCACCGCTGGTCCCCTGAAGGGGCTGTCCGGGACAGAGCTGCTGGGCAGGGAGGGCCCCCCTGACACCTGGGGGTGGGAGAAGTCCAAGGTCCCCCCAGGAGTCAGACAGACTCACTGGCTGTTGGTCAGGCTTCTGTGGGCACCAAGGGGCAGGAGCCCAGCCCAGTCCTCCCTCCCCGTCCCCAAGGACACGTGTGTGGTCCTCAGCCTGCCGAGGTCCGCACAGCACTCCCACCGAAGCCCAGAGGCCGGGCGGGTGACATAGTCATGGAGCTGGTGCGGGCACCCTGGCCCCTCCGTGCCCAGCGCCAGTGGCTCTCAGCTGGCGACCCGGGTAGCGTGCCACTGCACCATCCGAGGGGCCCAGCACCCTCCCTGCCTGAGGGTGTGGCCACAGGCGGACACCTGTGTGTCTGTCTCCGCAGCGCTTACACCCTGACACGGCCTCCCGGGCGCTGAAGCGGCCAGCCCGTGTCTTTGGGCCACAGCACCGGCTGGTCTGGCCTTGCCACAGCCACGGCAGGTGGTGGGGCGGTAACTGCAGTGGGCTGTTTGGTGCATGCGTCCGCTGGAGCGGGAGGTAGAGGCCCCCCACGTCCGCCCACGTCCCCCCGGGACTTGAACTGGTGCCTATGGGGGGTGCTGGCATCAAAGGCAGTGACTACTCACTGCACCCTAACTCTGCCCTGGTCTCTATAAAATGTTCTTAAAGATTTATTAATTTTTATTGGAAAAACAGATATACAAAGAGAAGGAGAGACAGAGAGGAAGATTTTCCATCTGATGGTTCACTCCCCAAGTGGCTGCAACGGCCGATACTGCGCTGATCTGAAGTCAGGAGCCAGGAGCTCCTTCTGAGTCTCACACATGGGTGCAGGAGCCAAGGCCTGGGCCGTCCTCGACTGCTTTCCCAGGCCACAGGCAGGGAGCTGGATGGGAAGTGGGGCCACCGAGATTAGAACTGGCCCATATGGGATACTGGTGCGTTCAAGGTGAGGACTAGAGCTTCTAGGCCACCACACCGGGCCTGTCTCTATAAAATTAAAAAAAATCTTTTCTGTCCAACATCTGGATAATGTCCTGGTGCTGACCGACGCAACGGCGTGTTCCATGAATCTGGAATTGCAGAAACTTCCTGGATCCTCAGTGAGCCTGGAAGCCCCTTCCCCACCCCTGCGTCTGCTCCCGTGGGTGCTGACGGGCCCTCTGCCCTGCAGGAGACCCTCGGAGCAAGCCTAGTCCATGTTTGGCTGAGGAGCCTGGTGCCTGGACGGGCAGCTGCATGAAGAGCTTCCTGGACCAGCACTGGCTCTGCCTTCATGGAGAGGGTCCCTGCGTGAGTTGGGGTGCCTCACTGGGGCCCTGGGGATGTCTGGCGGCAGAGAGGCCTCAGAGCTCCTCCAGCTCCCGTCTGCCCAGGCAGGTGGGGCCTCCTGTCCGGGGTTAGCTTCAGTCCTCTCGGGGGGGTTCCTGGGACCTTGGGGTCCTTGCTGCCCGGCCTGGCCTTCTACATCTCCCAGCAGGTGGCTGAAGGCCGCACCAGCAGAGAGGGTCCGGAGGAGCCCCAGGCCCCAGAGAGCCGGCAGTCGGGGCCACAGAGGTGCGGAGAGCCAGTGGGCAGCACCCGCCCTCCAGCTGCCGTGTCCACCCCTGCCCAGGCCCAGGGTGCACAGACCCCACGCCTTCCTCAGCACGATCCACTTCCGGAAGCACAGATGTCCCCCGGGGACAGGCTGGGGGGCAGCATAGGACCCTGCCCCCAAGCTGGGCCTCCCTCATCCACTCAAGTGGGGGTCTGGGCAGCTCTGTGCTGGGCTGGTCAGCTGGGTGTGGGAGAGGACGGGAGCTCGCTCCCCTGGAGCCTAGGGGCCCTGGAAGGGGCTGGGGAGGGGCAGACGCCCGTGAAGACGCCCCCCCCCCCGTGTGCTTTCAGGATAGAAGCCCCCAGGCTGGAGGAGCCTGGTGCCCCCCTTCCCCAGCTGGGAGCCACCCCAGGTGAGGCACTGGGGGACCCCTGGCCAGGTTGGGGACTATGGACTCCCAGGTGCCGGGGGGGTGGCATTGGAAGAGGGGGACTTGTGGTGCTGACCCCGCTCCTGGTTTGGAGACCTGCTGGCACAAACCCATCTTCTCCCCACAGTGCGTGTCCACCCCCAGGAGGTGCCTGCTGCTCAGTGCCTGGACAGCCCCTGGCCACAGCCCACAACCCCCATGTGCCTGAACCCGGAGTCCGCCCCTGGGACCCCCTCAGAGCCTTGGGAAGCACCAGGGTCCACCTGCACCTCCTGGGCCAGCTCCACCAGTGGCCATGCCACGCCCTCCCTGCCCGGATTCTGCAAAGCCACGGCCGTCCTGGTGCAGCTCTCAGATGACAGCGCGGCCTCTGTGTGCAGCGCGGGCGCCGAGCACGGGCCCCACACGGGTGGCGGCGGCCCCTCCTTGGAGGCCCCAGGCCTGCCTCTGTCCGCTGCCCCTGAGGGCCCAGGGGGAGCAGCCTGGTGGGCCGGTCCCTGCGGGGACTCGTGTGTGGAGGCAGCAGCGGTGGGCAGCTCGGAGCCTGAGCACGGCCCCCTCTCCGGGAGCTGGTCGCTGCCCCTCCCAGATGCCCCCTCTGCAGGATCCGGGTCGGAGCTGTCGGAGGCCTCCAGTCACGTGTGGGACGAGCACAGCTGGGAACCTTGCCCAGGACCCGGCCACCTGCGAGACGCAGAGACCTCCTCCCCAGACCCTGGGGCCCTGCAGGAAGATTCCAGAACCTGCGACGGCCTGGCCATTAGATCTAAGGCAGGGGAAACCAAGAGGGCGTCTACGGGGGAGGCCTGCCCAGCGGTCACCTCACACACTTCCTCCTCCAGGCTGTCACTGACCTCCGCCTCAGCAGAGCCCGCCCCTCAGCAGGAGAGACCCCAGCATGCCACGCCCCAAGTCCCTCCCACCGCACACGCTCCTTCTGGGGGTCCCTGCGGCAGGGCAGGAGGCGGGAGGAGCACGCAGGAAGCTGGGGCCCTGCAGGCCGACCACATCCTCACGGAGATTCTGTCTCCCGTGGATGAGCAGTTGTCCTACGGCAGCGCTGACCTCCCATCCTCCTCACTCCGGGACGCCGGCCTGCCGGCGGGGCTGCAGGCAGACAGCCATGCGAAAGCTGCTGGCCCCTACCTGGAGGATGGGGTGCTTCCTCAGGGCTGGCCAGCCCCCCTGGGCCCCCCAGGGGAGGACACCTGTGCCGCCCACCTGTCTTCCCCATCGAGGGAGGAGCCGGAACTAAGCCTCGAGCCCTTTGGGCAGGGGGTGCCAGGAGACCCTGGGGCGGGTCAGCTGGGGTCCTGCTGGCCTAAGGAAGCAGGCAGTGCCCCTGGGGGTCCCCCAGGACCCTCCGCACCGCCCCTGACTTCATCCTCAGCAGCCTGCGAGGCTGGCGGGACTCTGTCCAGGCAATTGGCAGCTGGCAACATGCTTGGCACCCAGTGGAGGACCCCAGATCCTGCCCTGGGCTTGGGGTCTAGGGCTGGTGAGGGCCTCCCGGGGGTTTCGGGCAGTGTTGGGGTGTCTGGGGAAGGGGCTCAGGGCTTTGAGGGGGCCACATGTCAGAGGGGGGTGAAGGCACCGCTTGACGGGTCTAGACACACGTGGGACTCCCTGCCTGTGTCTGGGCCCTCAAGCAGCCAGACCCCTGCCAGGTACCCCCTTGCCAGCCTTCTCGGCACGGGGAGCCAGGAGGTGGTAGACCTTGTGTCCACACAGCTCAGCAGGAGCGTCCTGTACGATTCACTGCAGGCACTGGCTGCCCTGGCCCCTCGGGGCGGCCCCTAGGAGGGGTCCCAGCGATGAGACAGCCTTGCCTCCTAGATGGGGGCACTGAGAGCCAGTGCCGTCAGGAAGCCAGGGTGCCCAAGGGTGCCATGTGCTCTGTGGGAGGCCGCTGAGGCCCTGCTGCCCGGGCAGGGCGAGGCCAAGGCTCTCCTGGCATGGAGATGCTGGGATCCTGAGGACTCCCCGACACCCCGTCCCTCGGCCAAGCCCAACGAGCGGCCTCTGTGCCTGCTGGGCCCGCAGGTGGCAAGGCCCACATGGCCCAGTCCTGGCAGGTGCCAGCTTGCAGATGGGCCCCAAGGAAGCTGGGGTGGGCCCTGGCCGCGAGCTGGCCTCTGGCATCCTCTCCCGTCGGACACTTGGGCCGGGGCCCGGATGTGACTTAGCACAAGGAACATTTCCTGCAGCGGAAGGAATCCTGGCAAGATGGGACGTGGGAACGGAAGAGCCGCCCGGGCCTCAGGCCTCATCCGGCTGGGAGGAGCCCGACTGAGGGCAGGCGCAGGGGAGCCCGGCGTGGGCTTGGCACATCCGTGGCAGACAGGCCAGGCCCCGTTCCTGGGTGCTTGCACCCTCCCTCACCTGCGAGCCCAGCTGCGGTTTCCCAGTTGAGGGGGGCAGAACAGGGCATGCTCCGCGGTGATGGCCAAGCCCTGGGGCCTGGCTGAGGGGACCGCACTGGACGTCGTCAGCGCTCTGGGTGACTAACAAACCTCCTATCTGGAAGGCAAAGAGGAAGAAGCGTCCATCTGCCAGTGCCCTCCCTGAGTGGCTGCCGAGGCCGGCGGGGCCAAGCCGGGAGCTGGAGCTCCAGGCAGGTCTGCCATGAGGGCGGCAGGGGCCGCCACCTGCTGCCTGCTGGGGCTTTGTCTCTGGGGAGTAATCAGTGAGTTCTCTCTGCCGCCTCCCCTTTCTCTCTGAAGCTCTTTAAGTAAATTAAAAAAAGGAACTTGTGTGCTGTGTGTGCTGTGACCCCACACATGGGCCCCTGGGGAGACCCAGCCCAAGGCCGGCGGGCCAAGTCCCAGGAGGCACCGGATCACAGAGGTGCCCCAGGGCGCAGGGGAGGTGGACAGGAGTGCTTGGGACCTCCGGACCCTGCAGGAGCCACCCCCAGCCCTGCTCGCTGCAGCTGGGTCCAGATGCCCCGTTGGCAGGCCAGTGTGGTTGTAGCTATCTCAGCAAGCAGCGCTGAGCCCTCAACTCAGTACGGGGCCGGGCCAGGGAGGGCCGGGGAGGGCAGGGCCGGGGAGGGCCAGGCTGGGGAGGGCCGGGGAGGGCAGGGCCGGGGAAGGCCGGGGAGGGCAGGGGAGGGCAGGGCCGGGGAGGGCCAGGCTGGGGAGGGCAGGGGAGGGCAGGGCCGGGGAGGGCCAGGCTGGGGAGGGTAGGGGAGGGCCGGGGAGGGCCAGGGAGGGCAGAGGAGGGCCGGGGAGGGCACTTAAGAGGCCGTGTGAGGAGTTACGGACCACACACACGTCCACCTTGCCTCGCACTCCCCAGTCCTGGGCGTCCTGCTGGGGGGACGCACAGCCCACATGAGAGCCAGGGTGTCCCCGGTGTCCCACCCCCGGCAGGTGCCTTGCCTGGCATGGCCATGCCCTCCACAGGATTCCGGCTGCAGGAACCAGGCCACACCCCTGGTGATGGGCAGGGCGCAAGCAGGGTAGGACTGTCCCTCAGGGTGGATGCAGGAAGACCACTCAGAACCCCTCGGCCAGGCGCCTGGAGCGCTCCAAGGCCGGACTCCGCAGAGGCCACTGCCACAGGAAACAAACCATGACTTCCTGCCAAGCCGCATTTGACTCAGCCCTCGTCAGGGCCTCCCCCAAGCTCTGTCCCCTCAGTTCCCCATTCATGGCCGCGCTGACAAGACAGGCACACCCGGGCTGTGGTGACGGTCAGCGCCCAAGATGCATGGTGCCCGAGGGCGTGGGCTCAGTGAGACCCCTCGTCAGCTGGCGGCGCTGGCCTGCTGCCCGTGCAGCTGTCTGCCTCGCTGGACTCGCCTTCCCCATGCCGCGCCCCCGAGGAGCGTCCACCGTCCTTACCCTGGCCATCCCTGCAAGGGCAGCTCCCAGACCATGTCACCTCTGCCCCCGCCAGGCCACCAGCTGGGAGCAGCTCCTGATGCTGGAAAACTTGACCAGCCTCTGGTTGAGACAGGGTGAGCTGCTCTGCCCATGGCTCACACACACGCCGTCAGACGCACGGGGACTCTCACACACTCATGCACACGCCGTTGGACGCACGGGGACCCTCACACACTCATGCACACGGCTCTCCCCCTGCCTACTGCTCACCCACGGTACAGCACAGTCCCTCCAGCCGTGTCCAGCCATGGTGTGAGCTATCACGGGGGGGCAAGGCAGGGACCCCTGACTCCATGCTTCTGTCCACTCACTGGACGGCTGCCCACAAGGCCACAGAAGGGTGTCCCGAGCCGATACGCTGGGTCTGGAGCCAAGGCTCCCCTTCCAAAGGGTGGACGGTGGTCTGGAATGGCCATGCCCTGCTTGCCCAGCTCCCCCTGGTCAGGGAAGAAGTGGATGGTGGGACCTGTCGAGCTGGCCATGGCTGTTGCCCCTCCCTCACCCCCTGGCTCCATAAGTGGAGCCAGGCCCAGGCCCGCCAGACAAGAGGTACTATGTGCTCGAGGCAAGGAGGACAGCCCAGAGCCAGGCAGGGGGTTGAAAACAGCTCTGCTGAGCTCTGGGTGGCGTGGGTCCCAGCCCATGGTGGACGTAGGTGCCCTCAGCCACGCCCTCAGCAAGCAGGGCACTGCTGGCGGCCCTGTCAGTGGGCTTCTGGGCCACCCCGAGGCTCCCAAGGAGGCTTGGGCAGAAAGTTCTGGAGCCCAGGGCGGTGAGCTCTGTCTGGGGCAGGGGCTGCCGCACAGGGCGAGGTCCCAGGGAGAAGGTGGGGCAGAGGCCTGGCCCTGACCACTGCACCTGCTCCTTGTTTGGGGAGGGGTGTGGGCCAGCCCCTCCCAGCTCTCGGTGGGTCCCAGTGAGAGCAGGGGTTCCCCAGACCTCTGGGGACACAGCAGGCAGGGCAGGTGGCCGTCTCTTGGTGCCGAGAGGCCCAAGGGCCCCCACCAGCTGGCATCCACCTGCTCCTCATCCTGCGCGAAGCTGGCAGGCCACTCCCTACACATCTCGGTGGTCAGGTGCACTTGTGGCACCTGCCTGGCACCATCTCTTGCCCCGTCTGGCAGCTCTGTCCGGCCTTGCTGGCCTCCTGCTGCCTGCTCACAACCCTCCGGCGTCCCTCTCAGAGGCCGCCCTGGCCCGCCCTCAGCACAGGCTGCCCAGCTTGCTGTCCACAGCCGGAGGGAAGGACCAGCCCCAGACGGGGAGCTCCCAGCCGGCCCCGCCGACTTGAGTCATGGCTCCCACCGTTTGAGAAGCAGCAAAAGGCCTTTCCTGGGCAGAATCGCGCACAGAGGCCACAGTACGAAGGTCGCGGGGGGGGGGGACGCAGCTGCCCTGGGTCCAGGCCGAGGTGGACGCCTCTCCCCCAGCCCAGCGAATCCTCTCCACGGGCCACGGCATTTGAAGGGGCGACTCCCCCTCGGACCCGCCCGACGTCGGCCAAAGCGAGTGACCGCCGCCCACGTGGCCCGGGTGGCCGCGAGGGCCGCCGGGGGCGGGGCCGAACGGGCGGGGCCTAGGCCTGGGCGGGGACGAAGGGGGAGGAGCCGTGCGGGGGCGGGGCCGAGGCCTGGGGCGGGAACGAAGGGGAGGAGCCGACGCGGGGCGGGGTCGAAGCGGGGGCGGGGCCGAGGCATAGGGCGGGGCCAGCGGAGGGCGGAGCCGCGGGGCTGGGCCGCAGCGGGGAAGGAGCCGCAGCGTGAGGGCGGGGCCGAGGCCTGGGGCGGAGTCCGGCGTGGGGCGGGGCCGACGCGGGGGCGGGGCCATGCGGCTCGCGTCACGCGGGTTGCCAGGGGGAAAGGTCGGCGCCGGCCGCACTTGCAACATGGCGGCGTCCGGGGCGGCGGCGCGCAGAGCGGGACCCCGAGCGGCGCCCCCGGCCCGGGCCTCGCGCCTCCCGCGGCTGCTCGTGCTGCTGGCGGCGGCGGCGGCGGGGCCGGGCCCGGGCCCAGGCGGCGCGGCACAGCTCTACCGCCCGGGCCAGGACGCCGTGTGGGTGCTGGACAGCGGCGGCGTGCGGAGCGCCACGACCAACAGCTCGGCGGCGTGGCTCGTGCAGTTCTACTCCTCGTGGTGCGGCCACTGCATCGGCTACGCGCCCACCTGGCGGGCCCTGGCCGCGGACGTGCAAGGTGAGGCGCGCCCGAGACCCCTCGGCTTAGGGGTGCACCCCTCCACAGGGTACCCCTCCACGGGGCACCCCGCCACAGGGCATCCTGCCACAGGGCACCCCTCCACAGGGCACCCCTCCACAGGGCATCCCTCCACAGGGCACCCCGCTACAGGGCATCCTGCCACAGGGCACCCCTCCACAAGGCACCCCTTCACAGGGCACACCTCCACAGGGCACCCCTCCACAGGGCACCCCACCACAGGGCATCCTGCCACAGGGCACACCTCCACAGGGCACCCCTTCACAGGGCATCCTGCCACAGGGCACCCCTCCACAAGGCACCCCTTCACAGGGCACACCTCCACAAGGCACCCCTTCACAGGGCACCCCGCCACAGGGCACCCCACCACAGGGACACCCCTCCCCATGGGACATCGCCCATTCTCTGGGGATCCTGCCTCTCGTCCTGTGCACAGCGGGGCCATATGGTGGGTTCAGGGGGCCTGCCACTTAGCATTTTGGGTTCTCTGGGAGCAGTAGATGAGGGGGCCCTCCGAGCTTGTGCTTGGCCGAGGCTGCTCACTGGTGGGGCTCAGTGCGATGGGCTGCTCGGGAGCCAGGTGCCCTCCGGCAGGTGCTGACGACTGTGGGCATTCGTGCCTCTTGTTGCCACCCAAAGCCCAGGGCGGCTGAGAGGCAGCGAGTTGCACTCCCACAGGGCCTCAGTGGGCCCAGCAGGAGCCCAGCGCTGGGTCTGGGCCGGCCGTGCCAGGTGGCACACTCCCGTGGGACACTGGTGTCGTAAGGAGTGGCCTAACCTGCCAAGCCAGCGCCGGGCACGTCTGTCACCTGTGTGTGGGTTGCTGGATTTTTCCAAGGTGGAATGAGAGCTGCCTGCTTGATTCCCTGTTGGAGGCCACCATGGGGCCGAACCAGAGTTGCCCCTAGCTGGGAGGGGAAAGTCGCTGGAGTGTGGTGTCACCCCAGAAGACTGGTGGGGGACTGTGTGGTGGCATGGCGATTAGGGCTCCGCCTGCAGTGCTGACGTCTGAGTGAGTCCCAGCTGCTCAACTTCTCACAGCTCCTGCTCAGGGCCTGGGGGAGCAGGGGGGTGTCCAGCGCCATGGGTCCCTGTTCAGGGCCTGGGGGAGCAGGGGGTCCCAGGGCCATGGGTCCCTGTTCAGGGTCTGGGGGAGTGGGGAGGGGTAGGTGGGTCCAGGGCCTGGGGGTGCAGCGGGGGGCGTCTCAGGGCCATGGGTCCCTGTTCAGGGCCTGGGGGAGCAAGGGCGGCCCAGGGCCATGGGTCCCTGTTCAGGGCCTGGGGGAGCAGGGGATCCCAGGGCCATGGGTCCCTGTTCAGGGCCTGGGGGAGCAGGGGGTCCCAGGGCCATGGGTCCCTGTTCAGGGCCTGGGGGAGCAGGGCGGCCCAGGGTCATCTCACCTATGGGAGATGCGGAAGCCCCTGGTTTGGCTCGGTCCTGGCCGCTGCGACCATCTGGGTAGTGAAACAGCAGAGGGAGACCTCTGTGTGTGTCCTCATGTTAATGAGGAAGTCAGTCTTTAAATGGGAGGTTGTAGGTTGGGGCCAGGGGAGACGTGGCAGTGAGGCTGCTGTGGCGTGGGGCAGAGCTGTGGCCCAAGGATCAGCCAGCAGCTGCCAGGGTGGAGACAGACCCATCCCACTGTGTCCCCAGGGCTCATTCTAAGTCCCAAAGTGGGGTCCCCGCCTGGCTTACAGGGTGGAGCCCGCGTCTTGTCCACACAAGCCCCCCGAGTTGGAGGGTCCTGGGAGAGTGACGCCCCTACACTACCCTCCCGGGGTGCTCTCCTCTCAGGAACCTCGGTCCAAGGAGTCCTCCAGGAGGGGCCTGTTAACCTTGGCCTTGGCAGCCAGCTCCCCGTGGCACGTGGGCAGGGGCCCCATCCCCTGGCAGGTGGCTTGCCTGTCGCTTGGCAATACATGGGCCTGGCGGGCCACCGGCGGGCAGGGCTGTGGGGGCTTCCAGGTGCCTCCTCCTTGACCCCAGCCCTCCAGGTGCCCCTCCCAGCATGGTCTCTAAACGTGGGCGTTAGGTGGAGGCCCTGCTCCCTGAGTGACCCCCACAGCTTAGATGGGGCGCCCCCTCTCTCCCGAGTGAAGGCCACAGCTTAGATGGGACGCCCCCTGTCTCCCGAGTGGAAGGCCATGGCTTGGGCGAGGTCTGGGTTGGGGCCAATGTGACCCAGTGGTTAGGAAGTACCAGCCTGGCAGTTCAGCCTAGAGTACCTGTGTGCATGGGCCCTCCCCGGAGCTCCTAGCTCCCATGAGGGCAGTGTGTGCCTGGGGGTGGGCAGTGGGTGCCTGGGGAGGGGGCAGTGTGTGCCTGGGGGTGGGCAGTGTGTGCCTGGGGGTGGGCAGTGGGTGCCTGGGGGTGGGCAGTGGGGCAGCGAGCACAGTTGCTCTGTTGCTGAGAGGTGGGGGTCAGGAGTCAGGTCTCCATGCCACCTCTGCCTTGTGGAAGGCGATTGTTTTCCTGGCAAGTAGGTGTGGCTCCAAAGTGAAAGGTGAACTGTATGTGTGTGTGTGTGTGTGTCCTGCAGGATCCTGTGTGTGTGAGTGTGAGTGTGAGAGAGGGCCTGTGTCCTGCAGGATCCTGTGTGTGTGTGTGAGTGTGTGTGTGTGTGTGAGTGTGTGTGAGGGCCTGTGTCCTGCAGGATCCTGTGTGTGTGTGTGTGTGTGTGAGTGTGTGTGTGAGGGCCTGTGTCCTGCAGGATCCTGTGTGTGTGTGTGTGTGAGTGTGTGTGAGTGTGTGTGTGTGTGTGTGTGAGTGTGTGTGAGTGTGTGTGTGTGTGTGAGAGAGGGCCTGTGTCCTGCAGGATCCTGTGTGTGTGTGTGAGTGTGTGTGTGTGAGTGTGTGTGTGAGTGTGTGAGTGTGTGTGAGGGCCTGTGTCCTGCAGGATCCTGTGTGTGTGTGTGAGTGTGTGTGTGTGAGTGTGTGTGTGTGAGTGTGTGTGAGTGTGTGTGTGTGTGTGAGGGCCTGTGTCCTGCAGGATCCTGTGTGTGTGTGTGAGTGTGTGTGTGTGAGTGTGTGTGTGTGAGTGTGTGTGAGTGTGTGTGTGTGTGTGAGGGCCTGTGTCCTGCAGGATCCTGTGTGTGTGTGTGTGTGTGTGTGTGTGTGAGTGTGTGTGAGTGTGTGAGTGTGTGTGAGGGCCTGTGTCCTGCAGGATCCTGTGTGTGTGTGTGTGAGTGTGTGTGTGTGTGAGTGTGTGTGAGTGTGTGAGTGTGTGTGAGGGCCTGTGCCCTGCAGGATCCTGTGTGTGTGAGTGTGTGTGTGTGTGTGTGTGTGTGAGTGTGTGTGTGTGTGTGTGTGTGTGTGTGTGTGTGTGTGAGGGCCTGTGTCCTGCAGGATCCTGTGTGTGTGTGAGTGTGTGTGAGTGTGTGTGTGTGTGAGGGCCTGTGTCCTGCAGGATCCTGTGTGTGTGTGTGTGTGTGTGTGTGAGGGCCTGTGTCCTGCAGGATCCTGTGTGTGTGTGAGTGTGTGTGTGTGTGTGAGTGTGTGTGAGTGTGTGTGTGTGTGTGTGTGTGTGTGTGTGTGTGTGTGTGTGTGTGAGGGCCTGTGTCCTGCAGGATCCTGTGTGAGTGTGTGTGAGTGTGTGTGTGTGGCCAGCAGGACCCCTGCCCAGCACGCTCAAGTCCTCCCTTAGCCTGCTGTTGTGCTGTAGCTCGCCTCCTGCAGCCTCCCGTGCTGTGGGAGCTGAGGTGCTTGGGCTCGTATGCCCATCAGGGCACTCAGAGGTGCACGCGGCAGTGGGACTGGGTGCCAGGCGGGCGGTTCCCAGGAGGCAGGGGACGCTCCCTGTCTAGAGTACAGTGAGGGTGCAGCGTGTAGCTGGGTGATGGGTGCGTCCGGAGTGGGTAGGCGAAAGGGTGTGCACGGCCCTCGCCAGATGGGAAGCAGGGCTGCCACCCTGCCCTGCCCTGCCCTGCCCTGGCCCGCCCACTGTGGCTCATTGCGTTTGACGATGATGGAGACTTCATGGGGGAGAATTCAGCCGCCTGGTGCCCCTGGAGAGGAGCCGGAGAGGGGCCGGGGAGGCAGGGTGCCCCGGAGAGGGGCCGGGGAGGCAGGGTGCCCTGGAGAGGGGCCGGGGAGGCAGGGTGCCCCAGGAGAGGGGCCGGGGAGGGGCCGGGGAGGCAGGGTGCCCCGGAGAGGGGCCGGGGAGGCAGGGTGCCCTGGAGAGGGGCCGGGGAGGCCGGGAGAGGCGGGGCGTGGAAGCGGAGCCCATGGGAAAGTGTCTGTCCCCTGGGGGCCCAGACACGGTGCACCCCACCCCAGGCTGCAGGCCTGGTTGGTTGTGACCCCAGGAGGGCCTTAGCGGGGTAGGCCCACTGCCAGGGCACTGCCGCCTTCTGGCTGAGGTGTCCTGGCCAGGCGGTCCCCTCTGCCCAGCCTGGACCGCCAAGCCGTCTGGCCCGGGCAGGGTGCGTGAGCTCAGCACCGCTGCTCTCCACCACCACAGAGGAGGGGTGTGGGTAGAGGGGCTTGGCTCTGAGTTCCTGACAAGTCAGGTGGGGCTCCTGGGGGAGCGGGGAGGGGCCTCCTTCCGCCTAGGCCTCCCAGCTGGCTGCCATTTGCATGTGGTATTGTGGGTGGAACAGGTGGGAGGGCTGGGTGCGCAGGCGTTGGCCCTGAGGCCAGCCCTTTATTCTGTGCCCGGGGCCTGGCCAGCCTTTTGTGTGTGAATGAATGTGGGCCCATCTGCCGCAACTGAAGTTTGCATCTGGTGCGGCCGCCCTGCACGGGTCCTGCGGAGTGTAGGCCGCTCTGCCTGGCTGCGAGACCCGCAGCGTGCAGGGGTGCAGCGTCAAGGCCTGGGAGCTGGGAACTCCGTGTGGACGGCCACAGGGTGGGGGGCCTTGGGCCCTGGGTTCCCCAAGTAGTGTCTGATTGCTAGCGGGTGTGGTAGGTGTTGAGGTCAGCTCTGCAGCACCGAGGCCGAGGGGGCCAGGGTCAGGGTGGGCCCCCAGCTCCTGGCTTGACACCGGCTGCCTGCCTTGACCCGTCAGCTCCCCTACACCTGCCGTTAGGGAACCCTGGGTTACAGCCTGGCCGAGGCCTCTGCTCCCGGGCCATCCTGATCGGATGCAGGCAGAAGCAGCAGCTCAGATCCAGTGCGAAGGGTCCAAAGGCAAGAGCTTCCCAGCTCGGGGGTCCCCCGCCCCCGGCTCCCGTGAGTGGCTGAAAGGCAAGGACGAGGTCACTTTGCCCTCGAGAGAGGCTCACTCCTTGGGCTTTGGAAAGCTGCGCATTGATGCCGTCTGGGGCGAGGCTGTCTCCAGGCCGGGCCCATCTGTGATCAGAGATGGTGTCCGGAGGCACCCACGTGGCCCTCCCTCTGGCAACCAGGGCTCACATGTCAGCTTTGTGCTTCTGCCCCTGGTCCTTGCTGATGGAGAGGCCCAGGGGTTAAAAATAGGGGGAGAGGGTCCAGCCTGGTAGCCTAATGGCTAAAGTCCTCACCTTGAATGCACCAGGATCCCATATGGGCGCCGGTTCTAATCCTGGCAGCCCTGCTTCCCATCCAGCTCCCTGCTTGTGGCTTGGGAAAGCAACAGAGGACAGCCCAAAGCCTTGGGGCCCTGCACCCGCATGGGAGACCTGGAAGAAGCTCCTGGCTCCTGGCTTTAGATCAGCTCAGCTCCAGCCATTGCAGCCACTTGGGGAGTGAATCAACGGACAGATCTTCCTCTGTACCTCCTCTCTGTATATCTGACTTTTAAATAAAAATAAAAAAAGATATCTTGAAAAAAAGTGGGGGGCCTGGAGAGAAAGATCTTCCACCTGCTGGTTCTCTCCCCGATGGCTGCGCCGGCCAGAGCTGGCTTGGTCCGCAGCTGGGAGCTGCGTGCTCCGTGGGCATCACGCGTGCTGCAGGGCCTTCAGCATCTGGGCCCTCCTCCGCGGCTTTCCCCGGCGTCTGAGTAGGGAACTGTGGATGGGAAGTAGAGCAGCCAGGACTCGAACCTGCATGCGCAAGGTGGTCGGGGGTGGGCACTCAGCTGGGGCAGCGGAGCAGGCATGCTGACCCTGCATCTGAGCTGTGCCCCGCCTAGGGGGCGGGCAGGCCGGCGGCCGCGTGTGTCAGGGAAAGAGGCCCACCTTGCCACTCAAGACAGGTGACTCCGGCCCTCGGGGCACGGGGCACGTGGCCCAGCTGCTGGGGCAGGTGCCGCCTCTCATCCAGGAACCGAGCCTAGCTCTGGGGCAGGTGGTTTGGTGACAAAGTTTGTAACTGTTAGTGTGGCTGGGGTCGGGCAGCCAAGCAGGTGGCGTTGGTGTGAGAACCTGAGGTGAGTGCTGGTGCGGGGGGATGTACCACTGCCGGCCAGGGAGATGTGGGCCTGGGGCTCCCAAGGACACACAGGGTGTCCCTGCCCCCACCTCCTGGACTGCTAAGGCAGTGCTCCCCATGGCACCCTGCCCCCATGGCACCCTGCCCCCATGGCACCTTGCCCCCATGGCACCCCGCCCCCCATGGCGCCCTGCCCCCCATGGCACCCTGCCTCCCATGGCATCCTGCCCCCATGGCACCTTGCCCCCATGGTGCCCTACCCCCTAAGGGGCCCTGCCCCCATGGCACCCTGCCCCCCATGGCGCCCTGCCCACATGGCACCCTGCCCCCCATGGCACCCTGCCCCCCATGGTGCCCTGCCCCCCCGAGGAGCCCTGCCCCCCCAAGGTGCCCTGCCCCCCGAGGAGCCCTGCCCCCCCCCCAGGAGCCCTGCTCCTGCCTGTCTTCCCACATGTTCTGCTCTGACACTCACAGGCCCTGGGTGGTCCCAGGGCTGCAGCAGGGGGCTGTGGGGCATGGCCTGCAGGTGTCCCAGATGAGGGGTACAGAGAAGACCTAGTGGGGGGTCAGTGCTGTAGCACTGCAGGTAAAGCCCCCGCCTGCAGCGCCAGCACCCCTTATGGCCGCTGCTCTTCTGTCCAGTAGTGGGAAAGCAGCAGAGGACGGCCAAGTGACGAGGCCCTGCCCCGAGGTGGGAGGCCGCGTGGACTACTGGCTGGCCCAGTTCTGGCCCTTGTCGCCATCTGGGGAATGAGGCAGCAGATGGAAGATCTCTGTCCCTCTGTAACTTTGTCTTTCCCATAACTAAATTTGAGAAATAAAAGAAAGAGACCTCCCCCTGACCCCCGTGGGGTGTTGGCGAGTGAAGGGCAGCCAGCTCACCCTGCCCACGTGGGCCGTGCTGTCCCTGCACCCAGGGACTGCAGCCCCGGTCAGCAAAGTGAGGGTGGCCATTGCCCGGACCAGGCCAGCGGGAGCCACTTGCCACCCACCTGCGCAGCCATGTGGGCCTCCAGCAGCTCTCAGAGCCCCAGAAGGGGTGGAGAGGCAGGTAGGAGCAGAGAGAGAGAGAGGAGAGAGAGAGAGAGGAGAGGAGAGAGATGAGCACGCAGTGTCCCATGTACCAACTCCCTCTCCAAGTACCTGAAACAGGCAGAGCTGGGCCAGGCTGAAGCCGCAGCCAGGAGCCCCCGGTCCCCACAGGGGCAGGGGTTCCTCACAGTGCGGGGGTCCCCTCGCCTCCCAGGGGTGTGAGCGCTTAGGAGGAGGGTGGGTAGGAAGCTGTGCCTTGAACTGGCACCCCAGAATGGGATGCCCGCTGGACAATGGCGGCTTCACCCTGCCCCACAGCACCTCCCAGGACAGTATGACAGGGCGCCCTCACCCTGCCCGGCCGAGCATAGAGGGCAGGGGAGGGTCCTGTGTGCTTTTGGGGCAGCAACACCTTGACCGTGGGCAGGGCAGAGCGGGCACGGAGAGCTCCTGCCTTGAGTCCCCAGAACCGGGAGCGCTGGGGGCTGAGTGCCGCGCCCCGCAGGTGGCACCTGCTGCTGGGTGTGAAGGGCCCGGGCTCAGGCCCCTGGCCATCTGCAGGCTGGACTGACCTGGCAGGCCTGGCAGGCCGCGCTCACTCACGCTCTGTTTCCCAGATTGGGCTGCTGCCATCCGGGTGGCTGCGCTGGACTGCGCGGACGACAAGAACCAGGATGTGTGCCGTGCCTACGACATCCGCTTCTACCCCACCCTCCGGGTAAGTGCTGCGGCCAGAGCTGCCCGCTGCCCAGTGGCTGAGTGGCAGGGCGGGCAGGTTAGAGCGGGGCGGGCGTGAGCGTCGGGCGCCACCCTCACCTGCACAGAGGGCTCTCCAAGTGAAGCTTACCCCCTCTTGGTTCAACATCTCTGCTTCTTTCTTGCTCCCCTGGGACTCAGGCTGTGCTCAGGTGGCCAGCGCTCCTGTGCCCGCGGTCCTGTGCCTAGTCCTGTGCCCGTGGTCCTATGCCCATGGTCCAATGCCTGTGGTCCTGTGCCTGGTCCTGTACCCAGTCCTGTGTCCGCAGTCCTGTGCCTGTGGTCCTATGCCCGCGGTCCTGTGCCTCTGGTCCTGTGCCCGTGGTCCTATGCCCATGGTCCTGTGCCTGGTCCTGTACCCAGTACTGTGTCCGCGGTCCTGTGCCCGTGGTCCTGTGCCTCTGGTCCTGTGCCCGCGGTCCTGTGCCTCTGGTCCTGTGCCCGTGGTCCTATGCCCATGGTCCTATGCCCATGGTCCTATGCCGATGGTCCTGTGCCTGGTCCTGTACCCAGTACTGTGTCCGTGGTCCTGTGCCCGTGGTCCTGTGCCTCTGGTCCTGTGCCTGGTCCTGTACCCAGTCCTGTGCCCACAGCCCTGTGCCCGTGCATGCTGCCCGCTCCGTGGTGTCCGTCCCCACTGCCGCCACTAGAGGGCAGCCCCGGCCTGCGGAATTGTTTCTCATTCTGTTAGGATTTTCTGTATTTATTTATTCGTTAATTCACTCATTCATTCATTTATTTGGAGGAGAAGGAGAGAAGGTGGGAGGGGAGGAGATTTTGCTTCCACTGATTCTCCCCTCAAATGCCTCCAACATCCGGGTCTCTCCGTGGGTTCAGGGGTCATCCTCCACTGCTCTCCCAGGCTCAGAAGTGGAGCAGCCGGGACTTGAACGGGACCCATGTGGAGGGCTGGTGCTGTAGGCGGGGCTTTCCTTGCTGTACCATGGCGCCAGGCCTGGGCACCCTGTCCCCTTGGCACTTGCATGCCCTGGCAGCGGACGCTCTCTGGCATGCTATGCTGTCCGCCTGGGCTCTCCTTAGCTCCCATGGCACCTGTGACGCTCTAGCTGCTGAGGGTCCTTGGATCTGACTGCCCAGTTGCATCGTGCTGTGACAACAGCCCTCGTGGTGCTTGGCATCTGGCTTTTCAGGGCAAGCACTCCTGTAGGTGGCTCTGGAGCACAGGGACAGACACTGTGGGTGGCCCTGCCCGCTCCCCCGTCATCCTGGGGTGGCTCTGGACCACAAGGACAGACACTGGGGGTGGCCCTGCTCACTCCCCCGTCATCCTGGGGTGGCTCTGGAGCACAAGGACAGACACTGTGGGTGGCCCTGCCCGCTCTCCCGTCATCCTGGGGTGGCTCTGGACCATAGGGACAGACACTGGGGGTGGCCCTGCTCACTCCCCCGTCATCCTGGGGTGGCTCTGGAGCACAGGGACAGACACTGGGGGTGGCCCTGCCCACTCCCCCGTCATCCTGGGGTGGCTCTGGAGCAGGACCAGAGGGACAGACACTGGGGGTGGCCCTGCCCGCTCCCCCGTCATCCGCAGGGCTCGGACACGACACTGGGGTGGCCGCCACTCCCCGTCACCTGGGTGGCCTGAGCAGGACCAGAGGGACAGACACTGGGGGTGGCCCTGCCCGCTCCCCCGTCATCCTGCAGGTGGCTCTGGAGCAGGACCAGAGGGACAGACACTGGGGGTGGCCCTGCCCGCTCCCCCGTCATCCTGGGGTGGCCTCACAGCAGAGGCGGCAGGCAGCTGGCAGGGAGCCCCCTGGAGGACCGACGGGCTGCGTGTCTGACAGCAGTGTTGTGCTGTGGAATCGACCCCACGCAGGGGCACCTGGGAGCGCCTGACCCCTGGCAGTGCAGGGAGCAGCCGGCTCACAGTGCTACTTTCCGTCCTAGTATTTCAAGGCCTTCACGAGGGGCTTCTCAACCGGAGAGAGCTTCAAAGGTAAGGATGGGGCAGCTCGTGGCCCCGGGCCAGGCCGTGCCCCGTGCCCTGGCCCTGCCGGCCCACACCAGCACTGCCCTGGGCTGGCACGCCTGATCCTGGGCGGAGGGGCAGGTTCCTCATCCTTGATTGTTAAAGATCGGTTTATTTGCGCATCAAACCTATAGAAGGTGAGAGTCTCAGACCCACTGGCCCGCTGTCCAGGCGGCTGCCTGTCAAACCTTGGTGACCCCTGTTGGAGATGGGTCAGACACCCAGCTGCCCAGGCCACACACCCGGCTAGAGACCCGGCGGGCAGGGCTCCCTGTTGCTAGGTGACGCAGTGAGGGCGCGTGGGACAGGCGCAGCGATGACGCGGGTGCACTTCCGGCAGGACCCGACAGAGAGCTGCGGACGGTCAGGCAGGCAATGATCGACTTCCTGCAGAACCACACGGAGGGCCGCCGGCCGCCGGCCTGCCCGGCCCTAGACCCGATCCCGTGAGTGCCTGCAGCGGCCGCCGGGGCTCCGGGCCAGGCCTGCGCCCGCCCTCACCATCTTCCTCCTCCCCCCAGGCCCAGCAGTGTCCTGGCCCTCCTGGCCTCGGGCAGCGGCCGGCACGTGGCTATTTTATTTGAAACCAACGGCTCGTACGTTGGCCGAGAGGTATGGCTGACCGTCCGCCGAGTGCTTCTCCCTCAGGGAGCTCCCCTTGGAAGGTCCTAGACCATGGCAGGGACTGGGCTGGTGCCAGGGTGCCCCCGGCGGGGCCTGTCAGGAGCCCTGTGCTTGCGGGGCTGGACCCTGTGTGGCACGCCTGTGTCAGTTGAGCGCGGGAACCAGACTGGGTGACAGCTGCGGCCAGGGCTGCCTGGTCTCCTGGGACCACGCGGGAACCCGTCGCCCCATGCCTGCCTGTCAGTAGGGACCCTTGGGGGGAGCAGGGACCTGCCCACTTCAGCTGGCATTCCTCCACTCCTTGATGTTTGCGGGATGCTATGCCACCGCCTTTGTGGCTGGCCAGGGTTCTCGGGGGTGGGGGAGCCCCCAAAGCGCCTCATGCCTAGACTCCCGGGCACTTGCTCCCACAGGCAGTGGGGGTTGCTGCCAGCACAGCCAGTCCCTGGGGTGGCCAGACACGAGCCTGGTGAGCCAGGAGCAGAGGTCGGCTGCGGGCCAGGGTGCCCAGCTCGTGCGCTGAGCCAACCCATACTTAGCCAGGGCCCCTGGAAAGGACATGGCCGGGTGGGTGTGGGCGGGAGGGCTGGGCCGTGGAGGGCATGGGGCTACCCAGGAGCTGCAATCCTGGGGTGCTTTCTCAGGCCCCAACCCTGGCCACGTGGCCTCTGGTGCTGCCCTTGGTGGGAATTTGGGGCCAGGCCACCTGGGGGCCGCGTGGGCACACGGGGAAGGTGTGCCTGGCCTCGGGCTGTCCACGGGGACGCCAGCTTGTGTGGCTGGGGAGCCACAGGCTGCTGTGAGCGTGAGGGACAGGGCACTGCACGCCCCGTCCTGAGCGGCAGGGACCGTCCACTCGCAGGTGGCCTTGGACCTGGTCCCCTACGAGAACGTCGTCGTACACCGAGCCCTGGATGGGGACAAGGCCCTGCTGGAGAAGCTCGGCGTCACCTCGCTGCCGTCTTGCTACCTCATGCACCCCAACGGGTCACACGGCCTCGTCCACGTGTGAGTTCCTGGCCGGGTGGGCCCAGGGTCACAGCCTCGTCCACGTGTGGGCGCCTGGCCTGGCCGGGCGGGCTCAGGGGACATGGCCTTGCCTTGTCAGACGTAGCTGTCCAGCAGGACGACTCCCATAGCTGCCACCCACTGTTTCCTGGGCACCAGAGGAGCCCGTGTGGGAGGTGGCACACACACAGTAAGGCCTTCATGTGCTGCCGGCCGGTCGGCATATGGCAGCAGGCAGCCGCAGTCAGGAACGCTGGGCTGGGCAGTCGTGCACAACCCCGGGGCCAGGCTCGGGGCCCAGGTCCCCACTCTGCTCAGCTCATGGAGGGACACGAGGAGGAACCGCGCTGCCCCCTCCGCTGGCAGGTGCAGCGGTCGGCTTAGCGGGCCCCTCCAGGCCTCTGCCAGCTCTCAGCTGTGGGTCCGGTGCCTGCTGCCCGCCCACCTGCGCCCTCCCCCACAGCGCGAAGCCGCTGCGCTCTTTCTTCGCGTCTTACTTGAAGTCACTGCCTGGCGTGAGGAGGAAGCCGCCCGCCCTGCCCGCGAGGCCCAGCGAGGACAGCCCGGTGACCGTGGTCTGGAGAGAGTTTGACAAGCAAGTAGCCCTGCCTCCCTCGGACCCTCCCTGGGGGCCGGCCGGGCCGGGGTCTGGAAGGGCGGGTGGCCCCGCTGACACGCGCCTGCTCCTAGGTCCAAGCTGTACTCGGCCGACCTGGAGTCGGGCCTGCACCACCTCCTGCGGATGGAGCTGGCCGCCCACAGGTCCCTGGAGGGGGCCGAGCTGAAGACACTCAAGGACTTTGTCACGGTCATTGCCAAGGTGAGGCCTCAGCATGCGTGCGGCGGGGGTAGCCAGCCTGGGGGGCGTCCTGCTGCCCTGCACTGCTTCCCAGGGCTTCCCCAGTGCTCACTGTGGCCTGGCCTCTGTGTGTAGGCCCTGCCTCGGGCAGATGGGGGCGTGGGGCTGGGCCCACCATGTGAGCTGGCTGTCCCTGTGCGCTGGTGGGGCTGGACAGTCTGGGGGCACTGGTGAGGAGGGCACGGCCCCCGAGCTCAGCCCTGCGCGCCGTGCCTTAGGCTGAGGGGCAGGCGGGCTGCTGGGCCGTGGGCCAGGCCGTGGCATGTCCTCTGGCCTCGTGGGGGTGAGGATATGGCTGCCCGTGGGGCCAGGTGGGTTGAGCTGACCTCCTCGGAGGGCTGGGGGCAGGGGCCGCACAGGCGGCTCTGGGCCCTGGCGGCCTCTCAGCTGGTCCTTCCTCACTCAGTTGGTCCCTGGCCGGCCACCAGTCAGGAAGCTGCTGGAGACGCTGCGGGAGTGGCTGGCCAGTCTGCCCCTGGACAGGGTCCCCTACAGCGCCATCCTCGACCTGGTAGACAACAAGATGCGGGTGAGTGCCCCCGCTGGGCTCGGCCGCGCTTGCGTGGGCCCAGGCGGGACGGGCGGAGGGGACTTGGCCAGCCTCTGCAGTCTGGTGGAGCCTCGTTTTGATTTCAAGTTTTTCTTCACTTTATTTGAAGGGCGGAGAGAACGCTCCCTGGTTCTGGCCCTGGGCCCGGGCCGTCCTTGCTGCGGGTGCTGGGCACCCAAGTCCGTGCACCCTCCTGCTTCCCTGGGGCACGCTGCTGGGAGCTTTGGCGGGGCAGGGGCCGGGACTCAGTGCCGGCCATGTGCCCCAGTGGCCCCTTCCTGCTGTGTCCAGCGGCCCTGGTTTGCGGTGCTAGCTCTGGCGAATGCCCCATTCCCCTTGCGGGCACCCCTCCCTGCCCGCTACCCTGCTGCTCAGGGTTCTCCGGGGTGTGCCAGGCCCGAACCCATGCTGCTCCCACAGGGCTGCGCCATGGGCCGGGCAGCACCCGTGCCCGCTGCCACCTTTGGGTGGCCTATCCTCATGTGAGCCCTTCTCACGCTCCAGGGTTAGGAGAAAGCGGGCCACGGGTCTGACACAGGCGGCCTGGCCTCGCTGCTTTTCCGGGAGGCGAGCCGCCCAGGCGCCGTGGCAACGCCGACCCTGACCAGCTCCCCTGCCGCGGGTCTTCCAGATGGCCGGAATGTCCCTCCCTAACCGCACCACATGGGTGGGATGCCAGGGCAGCCGCCCGGAGCTCAGGGGCTACCCGTGTTCGCTCTGGACGCTGTTCCACACCCTCACCGTGCGTGCCGCCACCCACCCGGAGGCCCTGCTGGGCACAGGTAAGGGCCCCCGGGCGGGGGGGCACGCTGGGCTTCCTCCTGCAGTGGCCGCCCTGTGGGTCTGCAGGTCCCACTGCTCCCCTACAGGGCATTGCTGGGGCCGACCTGGGCGTTGAGGGTTTGTGGGTTTTTCCAGTTCTGTGCATGCCGGTCCTTGAGGCTCCATGATCACGGCCAGGCCGGAGAAGTCTCGTCTCTTGTTAAAGGAGAGAGTGTGTGCGCATGCGCAAGCAAGTGTGCTGGATGGCCACGGTGGCTGGGCTGTCCTGGAGCTGCCGCCCGCTGTCCCTCAGTGGCTGGGCTGTCCCTCAGTGGCTGGGCTGTCCCGGGGCTGTCGTCCGCTGTCCCTCAGTGGCTGGGCTGTCCCTCAGTGGCTGGGCTGTCCCTCAGTGGCTGGGCTGTCCCGGGGCTGTCGTCCACTGTCCCTCAGTGGCTGGGCTGTCCCTCAGTGGCTGGGCTGTCCCGGAGCTGTCGCCCGCTGTCCTTCAGTGGCTGGGCTGTCCCTCAGTGGCTGGGCTGTTCCTCAGTGGCTGGGCTGTCCTGGAGTTGCCGCCCGTTGTCCCTCAGGGAGTCACCCATAGACGTGCCCAGACAGGTCCGTGGGGGCGCTGGGGGGCGGTCGAGGCCGCAGCCCGCTCTGCCCTTCCTGCCTTCCTGCCGGGCACCAGCCCTGAGGTGATCATGGCACACTGAATGCCCGCGGGCACACATGTGCCCCGCCTGCCCTAGCGGCAGGAAGCGCCTCGGAGGAGCCATCCCTGCCTGGGAATTGGGTCAGGCGAGGTGCAGGATTAAGTATGGGGGTTTTTCCCGCCTTGCGTGTGGAGACCCTGGGTCTAAAGCGCCCAGCAGGCGCTAATCTCCCTCAGGTAGAGGGTGGCGGTTCTTGTCCACTTGAAAGATTAGGGTCTGGGCAGGCGGCAGTTGGTGCGTGGAGGATTACCAGGGACCAGGGACAGATGTGTGGAGGCCTCCCTCCCCTCGCGGAGCAGAGCCCGGGCTGTGCCCATGCCAGATGCCACCTGCCACCCGAGGACACTCGGTGGGGAGGAGATGCCCGCCTTTGCATCCCGGGGCAGGGCCGGGGACCCGGTGGGCTCGTGGCCCACCCTCAGCTCCTTGCCCGCTGCGTCCCAGGCCAGCCGCGCTGGCGGTCCCTCTGCCACTGCCGTGTCCTCACCAACTACATGGCAGCTTTTGTTTCTTCACTTTTGTTTCACTTTTTGGTTTCACTTTTGTTTCTTCATTTCTTCATTCGAGAAAATAGAACCAGCTGGAGCCCCAGCTGCTGGTTCCGCTCCCCGGGTGCCTGCAGCGCCCGGGCCAGGCTGGGCCAGCCCAGGCCCTCGGGTCGGCAGCAGAAGACTGCAGCTCGGCCAGCCCGGCTGCCCGGCAGGGCTGCCTGAGCAGGGCAGGAGCTGGGAGGCAGGTGGGCGTCCCCGGAAGGTCACCCATGTGGTCCGGGGGGACGCCCACTCGTATTTAACCCTTTAGCTTTTCCTGAAGACGAATGTTACTGACTTGAAAGGTACTTACACAGGCAATAGAGGAGCGAGCTGACCACGGTCACTCCGGATGGCCACAGCAGCCAGTCCTGGACCGAGACAGCCAGGAGCTCCATCGGTACAGCCGTCCTCCACTGCTTGCCCAGGCCGTGCACAGGGAGCTGGGTGGGAAGTGCAGCAGACGGACTGGAGCCAGTGTCCACAGGGGGTGTCAGCGTGACAGGTGGCGGCTTAACTTGCTGCACCACAGTGCCGGCCGAGCACTTGAAGGAGTCTGGAGGGCAGGTCTTGGGCATATCCCACGTCCTGCCTGCCGGGCCTGGCTTCACTCCAAATGCCAGCTTCCGGCTAGCACACCCTGGCCAGCAGTGGGTGATGGCTCTAAGGACAGGGGTCCTGCCACCACTGGGAGACGCAGGTGCAGGTTACAACAGGCCCTGGCTGCTGTGGGGAGGGAGTCAGCGGGTGGCAGACGTCCCCCTTGCAGTGTCCCTGCCTTCTGCGTAAAGTGACAAGGGCGGCTGAGTAGTGTGTGCGGGGCCAGGGCGCTGCCGTGGCCAGGAGCAAGTGCCCAGGGCCAGGCGGGCCTGGGGCGAGCCCGTTCCTGGGCTGTGAGGCCATAGGCAGACACATGGCATGGCATCTGCTCAGGCGTGGCTGCTCCCCCAGGAAGGGCCCATCCGCCTGAACCTGTGCCCTCCGGAGCCATCAGCCTGTGGTGAGGTGGGTCCCCTGGGGTGGAGCCGTGATGTCACTGCCTCTGCCCGGGCGGTGCCCACAGCCCAGCCCTGCCCACCCGGACAGCGCCCACACCCCCGCTCTGCCCGCCCGGGTGATGCCCACACCCCCGCTCTGCCTGCCTGGGTGGTGCCCTCATGCCTGCCCGGGCGGTGCCCTCACCCCCGCTCTGCCTGCCTGGGCGGTGCCCTCATGCCTGCCCGGGCGGTGCCCTCACCCCCGCTCTGCCCGCAGGCCTGGAGGACGACCCGCCCGCGGTGCTGCAGACCGTACGGAGGTACGTGCATACATTCTTTGGCTGCAGGGAGTGCGGGGAGCACTTTGAGAACATGGCCAAGGAGTCCCTGGACACAGTGAAGACCGCAGACCAGGCCATCCTGTGGCTCTGGCGGGCACACAATACCGTGAACGGGCGCCTTGCAGGTGAGGGGCAGCCAGGCGTGTCGTGAACTGGGGGTGAGGGTCCCCGGACAGGGCGGCGACGGCAGGGCGCTGTGTGAGCCGGTTAAATAGGGCGCAGCCCAACTCAGACGAGCAATTCAAACTGCGCTGCTAAGTCAACAACAGATTAAAATTAGGCTTAAAGATAATTCCACCAGGCAACAGACTTAGCAGAAATGAACAGGAAAAGCCCCTGGCGTCTTGGCGTGCGTTAATCCCCGTCGGGCCACCCGCAGCCGGCGCTAAGGAAGAGCTTTTCCTCCTCCGCAGGCAGCGTGCGGCTTTGCGCTGGTCTCTGGCCCTGACACGGGTCTCCATCCTGGGTCCTCGGGGCACACCAGCTGGTCCAGTCCCAGTTAGGACCCATCCTAGGCCAGCAGCCTGGGATACTGTTATTACAGGGTTCCCGTGTTCCCAACCCTGCCTCCAGCCCGTGATGGGACCCCAGTTCCGGGTGCATGTCCTGGCCTTGGCTGCCTGCCCCTAGCTTGCACAGGGGGTGCAGTACAGCAAGCTCAGCCCCAAGTGGCAGCCTGGGCATGGTTCACACCCGCTTCTGGAACATGCTGTGGGTGGCGGGGAGCTGTGCCATGGAGGCCATGCTGGTGGAGGGGAGCAGCAGGGTGCCCGTGCCCCGAGCGTGCCTTGGAACTCACCAGGCGTGTACAGGGCCAAATGTGCCCTGCAGGTCCCGTGGCCGAGCTGCACTCCAGCTGGTTTGGGCTGGGAGGGCGGCTGCCGTACTGCCACTGTCCCACCTTTGTCCCTTCTGTCTTAGGGCACCTGAGTGAAGACCCTGCCTTCCCCAAGGTCCCGTGGCCCACTCCAGACCTGTGCGCGGCCTGCCACGAGGAGGTCAGAGGTGTGCACAGCTGGGCCGAGGGCCGCGTCCTGGCCTTCCTGAAACACCACTACAGCGCCCACAACCTCCTCCATGCCTACGCCGCGGACCTGGGCGACGGCTCGTGGGACACGGCCCCGGGCAGGAGCCTCCGGCCCGCCGCGCCCTCCCACGGCTGGCGCCACAGGCTGGACAGCGGGCTGCACGGAGCCCGGCAGGAGGCTGAGGCGGCCGTGCCCGTCCTGGGCGTGGGCTTCTCCAGCCTGGACATGAGTCTCTGCGTGGTCCTCTACGTGGCCTCGTCGCTCTTCCTCATGTTCATGTTCTTCTTCTTCCGGGTGAGGGCCAAGCGCTGGAAGGGCAGGCACCACTCCCCGGCCGTGTAGTGGCCGGCCCCGCCCTGCCGTCACTCAGGACCTGTCCGGCCACGGCCTCGGGGAGGGGCGGTGCTGGAGCGGTGGACCTCTGCCCTCCCCGGTGCAAGCCGCAGCCCAGCCTGCCGCTCCTGCTCGTCCCCACGGCGCCCAGCCGGAAGCCAGGAGCCGCAGGGGCGCCCCTGCCTGGCAGCCTGCGCCGTGAGAGGAGGCTGCCCTTGGGGGTACCTTCCAGGCAGCCAAGGAGCCGAGGCGCCACGGCAGGCCTCGGGGCGGCCTCGCCTCTGCCTGCACACTGTGACACTGGCGCCTTCAGGGAACACCTGGTCTCCCGCTTCTCGTGTGGGCACGGTGGGCGCAGACTCCTGCCCACCTGGCCGTGTGGTTGTAAATGCCGTTTCCACTTGGCCAGTCTCCCACTTTGTGCTTGTGGTGGGGAGGGGGTGGGCTTGGCGCCTGGCCTGAGCGGGGGCTGCCTGCCGTCTCCGGTGGACGGCGAACACCAGCTGGCTTGTCCTGGTGGCCGCTGGCTCCCGCAGGCACCGAGAGCCCCGGGACCCCCATGACCCGCTGGACACTCCCTGCGGGCCCAGCAGAGCCAGCGTCGCCGTGCCGCCTCTTCGGAACTGGAGCCCCTCAGGGCAGGCTGAGCTCTATTTTTTATAATTTTAAGTATTAAGAGGTGTCTCAACTGTGGGTATCAACATTCAGTAATTTAAATGTCTATTTATTTTTCCTGGAGGGATTTTGATTTTAAAGAGGCGGATTGCCGTGGAAATGTGGGTGAGCATTTTGTATTTCAATAAACTCGCAGTGTACATTTTCAAAATGAAGTCCTGTTTGGAAACTGCATGGCCCGAAGTGTGCCAGGCCAGCCCCCACTGCAGGGTCGGCTTACAGCGAGAGGGGTGCACCAGAGCCGCCCTCGTCTGCATGTGCCATCTGGAACCCCCAGAGCACCGCAGGCCTGGCGTTGGGCACAGTGGGCTCTGCCCACTTGGCTGTAGGGAAGGGGCACCATGGTGGACTGAGGTGTCTGAGTCCTCGGCCCGCGGACAGCCTGTGGTAAGAGCAGGAGTGCCCAGCAGCCTACGAGCTGCCTTCCAACCAGAGGGTGTGGGGACCCGCTTGCTGCGAACCCTGGAGCCTCGTAGCCAGAGGCGGGGAGCTCAGGGCCTGGCAGCGGGGCGGGTCCGGCCAGCCCTCTCCGGAGGGCGCGCCCCGACGGCGGCAGCCGGGCCCGGGGCGGGCAGGGCGCTTCCTTCAGCACCGCGGACAGCGCCGGGCCGTCCTGCCCCCGGGGTCGGGGGACGCGCGACCGGTCAGGCCGCTCTGCTGCTGGACACGGGCTCGGCCGCCAGCGAGAGGGGCCCGGCGCCGCGGCCGTCTGCTGCCTCCGCCTCGCGGTCAGAGCCGGCGGGCCTGGGGCGCAGGGAGCCACGGTGCCGGGAGGCGAGCAGCCGGAGGGCCTGGGTGATGGCGAGGGGCGCCCGTTCCTCCAAGGCCGCGGCCCCGGGTCAGTCTCCAGCCTGAACCGCCCTCCCCAAGGGCCAGTCCGCGGCCGCCGACTCTGGGACATAATGGAGGCATTGTTGGCGCACTCGCCAGACGCCCGGTGGCTTGGGGCCGCACTGCCGGCTTCCCCGGGTCCCGCCACAATGCCCGCCGCCCCCGCCCCCGTAACAGCTGACACTTCACAGCCGGCCCCCCGGCCCTTCGCGGGCTCTCTGCGGGGCCTCGGCCGTTGCGGAGCATCCTTAGGGCAGGGAGCATCCCAGCCCTTCGCGGTGGACAGAGGCGGCCAGGAGGGCGGCAGCGACCTGCTAACCCAGCCTTCGAGCGCCTCCTGGACGCCCCCCAGGTGCGTCTCATAGCGCAAGGACGGAGGGCTCGCACGGCGAGATCACCTGTTTGAATTCAGGGCCGGAGGCTGCAAACGCAGGCGAAGAGGCTGTTGGGGGTCCCCCGCTCAGTCCCCTGTGATGGACCTGGGCCTGCCCCGTCGGGAGAACTATGCCGCCTCCCGCCCCGCCCGGCCGCGGGACCTGCCGAGCCGCACTCACCCTCCGGACGTGGTCACGAAGACTGCGGGGCCAGCCGCTGCGGAGGGCCCCTCGGCCGCGGGAGGAGCCGCGCGCTCCCCGCCCCCGTTCCCGGGACCCCCCAGCCCTCCCGTCCCGCGCGCACAGGAGACCCGCCCTCCACGCCGGGACGGGGAGGCTGCGGGCTCGGGCCTGCGCCCGCTACCCGACCCGACCGCCGTGCCCGTCCCCGCCCCGGGCACTGCAGGTTCCCGCGCGAGCCCCGCGCCGTCCGCGGTCACCCCCGGCGCGTGTCCGCGCCCCCGGCCCCGCCCCGGGCCCCGCCCCGCCCCCGCCCTCTGCGCGCCCCGCGCCTCGGGGCCCCCGGGCCGCCCGCGGGCGCAGCGCCCAGCAGCGCCGGAGTCGCTCGGCTCGCTGCCGCCGGGGCCTGCCTGCACCCCGGCAGAGTTCGGGGCCGGAGAAGGGCGGCGCGGGCGGCGGGACTCATGGAGGCGCGCGCGGAGCTGGGCCCGGCCCGGGAGTCGGCGGGCGGCGACCTGCTGCTGGCGCTGCTGGCGCGGAGGGCCGACCTGCGCCGAGGTGGGTGCCCCCGCGAGCGGCCGACCGCCGAGGCAGCCTGGACGGGAGTGGGTGCCAAGTCGCGTCGAGGAGCCCCTCCGCAGCCTCTGCCGGCCTCCCGGCTGGAGCGCACAGTGGGCGCCCCCGGCGGGGTGCGAGGGTCCCCAGAAGGGTTTTCCCAACCACATCCGCCCCTACCCCGGTCGGGGAAGCCGAGTGTGCTGTGGGGAACCGTAGGCCGCCCCTAATTCCGGTCGCTCCATCGGCACCTCAGGACACCTAGTCAGGGGGTCCGTCCGGAGACCCGAGCCTCCTGGAGGCGAGCCGTTCCCTCGGGGCGCCCGGACAGGGAAGGTGGGAGCTGGCGCAGCGGGGGTGGGAGGAGTGAGCAGGCGGAGAGGGGCTCCATCCCGGCCGCGGGGTCTCGTCGTCCCCTACTTATTTATTTATTTCCCGTCGGTTCCTGGGAGGGGTGGCCACAGGGCTGGGAGGAAGGGGTGGGAGGCGGAGGGAGGCGGAGGGAGGGGAGAGGGCTGGGCGCGCCGGCTTCGAGAGAGCTGGCCTGGGCGGCCGGAGCGCCGGGCGTCGGGGAGCCGCCGGGGCTGGATTCGCCATGCAGCGTAAGGCCGTGGGGCGCGGGGGCTTCTCCCGGCGCGGGCCTGGACGCGCGGCTGCTCCCGCGGCCGAGGGGGACGCGGGTTCGGGGCGCGGGTTCGGGGCGCGGCGGCCCGGGCGCTGTCCGCGCCCCGGTGCTGAATTCGCGCGGCGCGGGCCCGTGCGCCCCAGCTCGGGGCCGGGAATCTTCGCCTCCCTGCGATCGCGGCTCGCACAGGGGACCCCGGGCGCGTGGCGGATCCAGGGCTCGCGCCGCCTGGGCGCCTGGCTTTGCCAGAGGCGGGACGCGGCCGGGCGAGTTTCCCGCCAGCAGGGGAGAGAGGCTGGGTTTTCCCCCTGGTAAAGAGGCTTCCGTGCCTCCCACCTTTTGCGGGTTGGGAGCTGCGGGCAGCGTTCCTGCGGATCCTGGCCCCTGCCTGCCTCTTCTCGCTTAGAAACCCCTTTCAAGCGGACCCACAGGCCCCTCCCCAGCCGGAGACACCCCGGGCCCGCAGTGTCCGAGGTGACCTGGCAGGCTTCCGGGCTTCCTAACCCGCAGACGCTCGGTCGGCCGGCGAGAGGTCACACCTCCCAAGAGTTTCTGGAAAGCGCAACCGTGCGGCTTCGCAGCGCCCTGTGTGCGCGGGCGCTGGAGGGTTTGTTTTCCCGTTTCCCAGCCTGCCTTCCCAGGCGCTCCGTGGCATTGGAATGCCAGCCCAGCCAGCTCCCCACCCACAGACACCCCAGGCCCTGCTCCGGGCTGTGCCAGGTGACCCCGGCTCACTCCCCACTCCCCACACTCCTGGCCAGCAGGCCGTGGCCAAGCCCTGACACCTGCGTCCCACAGAGATCCCGCTGTGCGCCGGCTGTGACCAGCACATCCTGGACCGCTTCATTCTCAAGGCTCTGGATCGCCACTGGCACAGCAGGTGTCTCAAGTGCAGCGACTGCCACACGCCGCTGGCCGAGCGCTGCTTCAGCCGCGGGGAGAGCGTCTACTGCAAGGAGGACTTTTTCAAGTGAGCCGGAGGCCCCGGGACGGGCAGGGGATGGCACCCTCCAGGCTCCCCGGCCAGGGTCCTTGCCCTGGGGACCTGCTTTGGGGGAGAGGGTGCACCCTGGGCCGGGCTGGCTGGGTCCTCTGAGCAGATGCCCCCTGGATGTTTGGAAAATAAAAGAGCATTGATCCTGGATGTGGCGAAGGCCAGCTGCTCGCCAGCAGAGAACTCCAGTGCGCGCCCAGCTCGCTGCTGAATTCTCTGTGCCCTAAATCTTCTTTTTTCTTTTTTTCCTGTCAATGTTGGGGCTGGGGAGGTCTGGGGTTTCCCTCCGGCCCACCTTCCAGGGACCTAGCTTCCCCAGCGCCCTCCAGCCCTTCTCCACGGCTCCTCCTCACCCACTCGCCTCTCCAACCCGCTCCGGGCGAAGGCGCCGCCACGCTGAGCCGCACCCTGTGTGTCCCGCAGGCGCTTCGGGACCAAGTGCGCCGCGTGCCAGCTGGGCATCCCGCCCACGCAGGTGGTGCGGAGGGCACAGGACTTCGTGTACCACCTGCACTGCTTCGCCTGCGTGGTGTGCAAGCGGCAGCTGGCCACGGGCGACGAATTCTACCTCATGGAAGACAGCAGGCTCGTGTGCAAGGCGGACTACGAGACGGCCAAGCAGCGTGGTCAGTGGGGAAAGTTGCGGGCTGGCCCCGGGGACGGGGAAGCAGCGGGAAGGCAGGGAGAGTTGGAGATTGGAGATTTCAAGGGCGCCTTCGCGCCTTGGGGCCCGGGGAGGCCGGCCAGCGGGGCGCCGGCCCCGGGGAATCGTCCGTGCGGTCGCACAGCCCGCGGGCGGCGGTGGCGCGGGGCCGGCCCGCCTGACGGCACGCCACCCCGCAGAGGCGGAGGCCACGGCCAAGCGGCCGCGCACGACCATCACGGCCAAGCAGCTGGAGACGCTCAAGAGCGCCTACAACACCTCGCCCAAGCCCGCGCGCCACGTGCGCGAGCAGCTGTCGTCCGAGACCGGCCTGGACATGCGCGTGGTGCAGGTCAGCGCGGGCGCGTGACCCCGGCCCGGCCCCGGCGCCCCGGCCGCCGCTCACGCCGCCCGCCGCCCCGCGCAGGTGTGGTTCCAGAACCGACGCGCCAAGGAGAAGCGGCTCAAGAAGGACGCGGGCCGGCAGCGCTGGGGCCAGTACTTCCGCACCGTGAAGCGCTCCCGCGGCGGCGCCAAGGCCGACAAGGACGGCGCCCAGGACGGGCCCGACAGCGACGCCGAGGTCTCCTTCCCCGGTAAGGGCGCGCGCCCGGCCCGCCTGCTGGTGGTCCGAGCTCGTCCCTCCCGGAACCGCAGGCCGGGGCTGGGCTGCTCCGCGCTCGGGCCCCACCGCCGTCCCACCGTCCCCCGGGCGGGCCTGGGCGGGCGGCCCCGCTGCGTGGCGCCCAGGGGCGGGCACTGACCGCGCGCCCTCCACCTCCCTCGCAGATGAGCCGGCCGTGTCGGAAATGGGCGCTGCCAACGGCCTCTACAGCAGCCTGGGGGAGCCGCCCCCCGCCCTGGGCAGGCCTGCCGGAGCCCTGGGCGGCTTTGCCCTGGCGTCCGGGGGCCTGGCGGGCCCGGAGCAGTACCGCGAGCTGCGCCCCGGCAGCCCCTACGGCATCGCCCCGTCCCCAGCCGCCCCCCAGCCCCTCCTCTCCAGCCTGGTGTACCCCGACTCCAGCTTGGGGCTCGCGCCCTCAGGGACCCCGGGCGGGCCACCGCCCATGAGGGTGCTGGCGGGAAACGGACCCAGCTCTGACCTATCCACGGGGAGCAGCGGCGGGTACCCCGACTTCCCCGCCAGCCCCGCTTCCTGGCTGGACGAGGTGGACCACGCCCAGTTCTGACCCAGGCCCCGGGGCGCCCAGTACCTGCCGTGGGGGCTTGGCTGCTGGGGGGAGCTGTGTGCCCAATTTCCGAAGCCCTGGACCTCGGAAACGGCGGGCACGGGTGGGGATTGGTGGCGGCAGGAAGCTGCGGACCCTGCCCTGCCCCGCAGGCCCCCAGGACTGTCTGGCCTCCCGATCGTAGGTTTGTAGGCCTTTCGCCTGGGTACTCGCTGCTGTTTCTGAGCATAGCTGTCACCCTCTCTGGGCTAGGTCGCCTGGTGGCCTGACCTTCCCAGCCCAGGTCTGAAAAAGGCTTGTTTCTAAGGTGAAAAACAAAGCGGAGCCAGGGCCGGGCCGTGTGCCCGAGGCTCTGAGCCGCTGGCCGCTGGGCTTGGTCCTCCAGACGGGACACTGTGGGGTGCTGGGTGCTGTGGGGGGCCCGTGGGCCCTCCCAGCTCTGAGGACCCTGCCGCTCGCCGGGGCCCCTCTGCAGCGCCCTTCGTTGCCGCCGGAATTCCGCGGGGCGCTCTCTTGAGCACCCCCAGCCCTCAGCCCACACGTTGCCGACACCGTTGCCAAACAGCAGCTCTGAGGCTGCCGGGTCCGGCCATCTCCGTGAGCCCCGCGTGGGAGCCCGCGTGCAAACAGGCAGGCTGGCCCTCGTGAGTGGAATCCCTCTGCGAAAGCCGCACCCCCCGTTGGGCTGTAATGTCCCACATCTTTTATTTATTCTCTGCTGATCGTCTCTTTCCAAGACTTAATAAATCGGTCCCTTGGAATCTCTGGAAGGCGTGTGTTGAGTGAGGCTGGGGAGGGGGCGCAGGCTGGGGAAGGGGGTCGTGGGCAGAGCCCCCTGGTTCCCTGCCATGCGCACCTGCTGGCTCAGGTGCAGAGAGCAGACCCTCCCACACACACCGTAGGACGCTTGCCCTTCTTGGAGAGGCGGCAGCCTGGCTCAGTTCGTCTGGGGACTGCCCAGGTGGGCCAGGGGCCCCAGGACTGCTGAGGGCTGCAGGCGGCATGCTCTCCAGGCCGCATCTTCCATTGGGTCCTGCGCTGTGGGTGCACCCTGGCTTGGAGCTCGGCACCTTGGACCCTGCCCTCCTTCCTGCCAAGACGCTGCCACGGCCCTCTTTGAGCACAGACCTGAGGCAGAGGAGGCATTCGCAGGGCCACCCCCACCCCAGGTGGAGCTCTGGGCAGAACTCCTGCCCTCCCAGCTGGGAAGGGGCAGGAAGGCCCCAAGGTGAGGGTGTCCCACAGCCCGTCTCCCCGTGGGAGCCATGAGCCGCTGTGCCTGGCTCCTCCCATTTCCTGCCCACAGCGATGCCCGGCCGGCTCTGTCCTGACTCCCCCTCCTCACAGCTGAGCAGTCAGGGAGGGGGCAGGGACTGTGAGAAGCACAGGCCCAGTGGGGGGCCTGCCCATGGGCTGAGGGGTGCTCCCCGTCCTAGCCCGCAGCCATCGGTGGTCCACCTGGGAAAAGAGGTGACAGACTCTGAGTGTGAGGGATGCCCAGGCGAAGGACAAGGGGTTGGCACTGAGAGTGTGGGCTCTGGGTCCACAGGCCACCTCCAGAGAAGGACAGGGGGTGGCACAGAAAGACCTGGCTGAGCGGGATGGTGGGCGCTGGCCAGCCGGCCAGGGCTGCCCGCCCCGGGGCCACAGGCGGCCCCCGAGGGAGGACTTGGGGTTTAGGGAGGGGCAGGTGCTGGGGTCCCGACATCAACCCTGCAGCCCCGCCCCCCGCCTCCGGACTCTCGGTGCTGACAGGTTAACAAAGTGCCAAGTGTCCCCGAGGCTCCCGGCCACAGCTCCGGCAGCTGGCGGCTCCCCGCGTGCAGCCCCGGCGGTCCCCGCCCCGCCCGGGGTCTGGGAGGGGGCCTCGAGGGGGAGGGGATCCCGGCTCGCAGGGCGCTGTCTGGCCTCTCCGCCCGGGCCAGTGCGCCGCAGCAGGCTGTGGGGGGATCCCTTAGGCCTGGCCCCGAAGAAAGGGACCCCGACTGGGCAGCAGCGAGGGGGCGGCCGGCGTAGCCCCCCGGACGAGGAGCGTGGGCGCGCAGGTGCGCAGAGCTGCGTGGAAGCGCCCGCGCCGGCGGGACAGGGCATGGGGCTGGGGCCTGGGCTCGTCCCCGCTAGGGCAGCGGCCACGGAGAGCTGGGGCCCGGGTTGGCCCCAAGCAGACACAGGGCAACAACACCGGGACCCCATGCCCGTGGTGGGGGGTCGCTGCTCGTGCCGCGCTGCGGGATGTGGCGCTCCACACGGGGAACCACCGTGGAGTAAATGATTCGGCGCCACGGAGGACATTAATTCCGGGGGCTTTAATAGAAAAAAGCTCTTTAGGGCCGAGGAGACGCACGACGCCGGGACGTTGAGTGATCTGGCCGTCGCTCCGGTGCGGGCCCCTCCCGCGTAATTGATGCGCGAGCCGCGGCTTCCCGTGCGGGCGGCTCATCCGTCTGCGGGCCGACGGCGGCGGAGCAGCTGCGGGGAGACTCATTTTTCACCATAAAAATATTCCCTTCGGCCCCGCACGGCCGCACCTGGAAGCAAGCCGAACCCGCAGCTCTGTTCCGCGCGCACGTGCGTGAGCGCCGGCGGGGAGGGAAGGCGGGCGACGGCCTCCAGCAGCCCGCCGATGCTGCCTGCGCCCCAGGCGAGGGTCAGGGACACTCCCGAGGGGCTCCCTGCTGACCACCCAACGAAGGCCGCAGTGGAGTGGCCCAGGAACCCTGGCCACCGCGGTCAAGGCCGCTCGCGGGGCACTGAGTGACCTCGTGCAAGGTCTTTTCTGGCAAGGGCAGTGCGAACTGACACCACACGCGTGTGCCCTCCCCCACGTGCCCGTGCCGCACACCCCCACGGCAGGTGTGTGGGTCGTGGAGAGGCCGCCCCCGGGGTCACCGAACCCTTAGGCAGTGGGCGGCCAGGCTGAGCTGCAGGCACAGTGTCCTGGCTGTGCCCAGGGCTCCACACCCAGGCTGGCCCCTGTCTGCTGCTGCCCACCCTGTGTCATCCACCACACGACAGCTGGCACATATGCCGCCCTGGGGGTGGGTGGGGAACCCCAGGCTGCGGCCCAGGCTTTGCACAGGAGCCGAGAGCGAACCTCCCCTGCAGTGGGCAGAGGACGCGGGCCTGTGCGGTTTCCCGCGGAGTGGGCACTGGCCCCTGCCGTGCTGTGGACCACCTGAGCGGATGCCAGGCTGGGTGCGGGGCAGGAACTCCTCTAGGCACAGTGCCCCCAGAAGCAGCAGGCGTGGCTGGCAGGCTTGGGCCCCTGCTGGGCTCGGCTGGCCCCTGCCGGCCTTGGCAGAGTGAGACTGCCTTTCACCCCAGTGAAACTCAACTCGCTATTTGTTTAAAAAAGAGAAGAGGCAGCCAGGCTCCGACTGCAGGTACACTCCGGGCAGGATGGCGAAGCTGCCAGCGAGCGGGCGGACCAGCGGCTGCGGGCACTGGGGAGAAAGACGGAAGCAGAGTGCTGGCATGCGGGGCCAGCAGGTGCCCGGGGCCTGAGCAGGGTGGGGAGGAAGTCAGCGATCGGCCTCCTGCGGCTCCAGGGCCCAGCCTCTCCCCAGCCTCAGCCACTCAGGGCGCGGGAGTGCGACCCCCGCCGTGTCCAGGCCCAGCCCCTCTGCCCTCATTAGCAAGTACCTTTGTCCTGTTCCGGTCACCTCCCGTGGCCTGGCCTGCCCCGACTGCCGGGCTTGTGGAGCGGGGGAAGGTCAGAGGTGGAGCCGCGTCCAAGGGCTGACCCCGTGACCCCCATCTTCTCTGCTTGTGGAACAATGCATCCGGACCACACTCCGGGGGCCGCGGCGTGGGAAGCATCAAGCCCCGCCCCTCCCGACCAGTGATGGGGGCTCCCCCGGACGTGACCCCGCCACCCTCATGGCCAGCTCCTGCCTGGGTCCGCGAGAGAGCAGCCCCCCTTCCTCCGATCCCGACCCCGGGGACTGCGTGGACCCTGTCACTTCTGGAAAATTCCCCCCGACACAGGGGAAAGAGGGCCGGGCGGGGGCGGTGAACAGCAACGCCCTGTTCCCAGCTGGGGCTAATCCCCTGGAAGACGAGGCTTAAAGTTTAATTAGCAGGCTCCTCTTATGCAAACACCCTCATTAGGCTAAGTGTCCCATTAGTTAAATGCGGCGGCAGGGGCGACCGCCCAGGGCCCGCTGCGGGCGCCTTTCCCAGCCGTGTTGGGTGTTGGTGGGAGTGGGTGTCCTTCAGGGGACGCTGGCGTCGTGGGGGGCGGGAGCTGCACCGCCCGGCGCTTAGGTCCAGAGGTGATGTCACTGACAGGGACCTGGAGCTCAAGCCCCGTCTGGCGTGGCACAGAAGGAAGGGGTACTGGGGGCTCAGGACTGGATGGGCTGCCCGCGCCCCTCCCCACCCTTGACTCCTTGCTTGTTTCAGCATTAAGGTTTACAAGGGCCAGTGCTGTGGCATGTAGGTAAGCTGCTGGTTGCAAGGCCGGTATTCCACAGGAATCCCAGCTGTTCCACTCCTGATCCAGCTCCCTGCTCACAGCCTGGGAAAGCAGCAGGGGATGGCCAGGTGCTCTGGCCTGCACCCAGGTGGGAGACCTAGAGGGAGGGCCCGGCTGCAGATGGCTCAGGTGTGACCATTGTGGCCATTTGGAGAGTCAAGCAGTGGGTAGAAAGTCAAGACAAGAAAAAGGAAGGCAGGCGGACAGGCAGTGGGTAGGCAGGCAGGCAGGCAGGCGGGTGGGCAGGCAGTGGGCAGGCAGGCAGGCGGGCAGGCAGTGGGCAGGCAGACAGGCAGGCAGGCAGGTGGGTGGGCAGGCAGGCAGGCGGGCAGTCAGTGGGCAGGCAGGCAGACAGGCAGGCAGGCGGGTGGGTGGGCTGGTGGGCATGCGGGCAGACAGCCGGGTGGGCAGGCAGGCAGGCCCATGCTTTGTCCCAGGGACAGTCCAACCTGCTGTGTGACCACCCCCACCCTCTGCACCGCCACTCAGGGACCTGCATGACCTGTGGACGAGCCCCGGCCTGGGGTGCGACTCTTGGCAGGTAGCGGAGTGCGTCCCAGCACAAGAGGGCGG